CACGAACCTTGTATACATGTGTTTCTCTCCCTCCGTCTGGCTGTGCACGCGCGCGTTGGGCACTGAGAGTTAGGATCATAGCGCCATGAGTCTATGAGCAATGCATGCGTCATCCTTGGGACTGTATAACATCAGTGTAACACATGTACTTCTGTAATCGCATCCCCACGAATTTGCCCCAAAAATGTGACCAACTATCTTGGCACTGCGTACCATCTCACGTGTACCGTGTACCACATCATATGTAACAGATGTGATCAACCTCTGTGGGTGTGTACCCCACGCCAGTGTAGTAGCCAGGGTCGTCCGCACGCCACGAAGTGAAGTGTCCCAACGTCATAGGGCGGGAAGCTGGGTGTGGGTGGTCTCGAAGAGTCGTTTGGATATTTGGTAGAGCTTGAACGGCCCCCCCACGAAGTGGGGGTATTGGCTGGTGTCGCAAGAAAACCCTGGCACTGGGGAGAACACTGAGCGTTCGGGTAAAATGATTGTTGTTGTTGTTGTTGTTGTTGTTGTTGTTGTTGTTGTTGTTGTTGTTGTTGTTGTTGTTGTTGTTGTTGTTGTTGTTTGTTGTCGTCGTCCCACCCCCGACCCACCCGCGACCCAACCCGCGACCCACCCCGCGACACACCCCGCGACCCACAGGCGACCCACCCGCGACGCACCCGCGACCCACCCGCGACCCACAGGCGACCCACCCGCGACCCACCCGCGACCCACCCGCGACCCGCCGGCCCGCGACCCACCCGCGACCCACCGTCGACCCACCTGCGACCCAACCCGTGACCCACCCACATTGGTTTTTCAATGAAATTGGCGCCTGCGGCGGGCTCGTTTTATAGCTTGAAAACTTCTGCGCCTGCGGCGGGCTTCAGAGCCTCGCAGACTGCCAATGTGCCTGGGTGTGCCGCTAGAGTGAGAATCCGTGGTGAAAATTCTGTTTGTTGCGGTGTTGTTGTTTGTTGTCGTCGTCCCACCCGCGACCCACCCGGGACCCACCCCGCGACCCACCCGCGACCCACCCCGCGACCCACCCGCGACCAACCGCGATCCACCCCGCGACCCACCCCGCGACCCACCCGCGACCCACCCGGGACCCACCCGCGACACACCCGCGACCCACCCCGCGACCCACCCGCGACCAACCCGCGATCCACCCAGAGACCCACACGCGACCCACCGACGTACGTTTCGAAGCCCAAGCTTGCCACACGAACCAACGGGCTCAGCAACGACCGATGGTACGACGCATCTAAGGTGACAGACGTTACGACATCACGTCGGCACGTCGAGAACAGAACAGGACATAATAAAGCAGAGCAGACTAGAACAGTACTACATGGAACACAGTTGAAATTTGTTGAGTGCAGTATCGGCATTAGTGAAGAGGAGGGCCCCGACCGAACGAACACTTCCGTAGCATAAGAGAGCATTCCCAGAATATCCTGTACGCGACTGGGCATGCCGTCGACAGCATCACTGCATAGAGCACAGTTTAACTAAGACTGACAAAGCATGGCATGTCATAGCATGGCCCCGCGTAGCACATAAACAAAACATACCATGTCACAGCATACTGTGACACATGTGGCATACAACAGCAATGTTTAGCAGACGTGAAATCATCAATGAGAAATCACAGTATATCATACATACTTTCTACCCTATAAGCCAGCGCGACGTGCGCGCCGAGGTCAGCCTGGCCATAGGCACCAACAGGCACAGCAACGACCGATGGGACGACGAATCTAACGTGACAAGCGTCACGACGTCACGCCAGGCCGTCGAGAACAGAACAAGACATAATAGAACATGCCACGGTATAACATTTTTCCATGCTACATAATTGGATACGACTGGATACAGAAGTGAAGACGAACTCCTGCTCCTCCTCCTGCTGCAGCTGCTCCTCATCATCATCCTCCTGTTTCACGCGGCTGCAGATTCTCTCCGAGCAAGCTGTGGAGACTCGCACCACGCGTTTCGGGGGTCCAAAATCGCCCCAAGGCTTGTTTCCAGAAAACTCGGGCTGTTAAAACTCACGACAACGGACACTTGCCACCTGGCCCTGCCGCCGCGCTGGCCGAGACCACCGGGCCCCACGCGCATCGTTCCAGTAGGCGCGCGCACCGTCGGGAGCAAACGCCGAAAGGTTCGGCCAGGACCGCTCGAACTGAAATATTTCTTTGACAGACCCCAGGCATCGGAAACGGCTCCTAGAAAGCACGAAGCGAATCAGCTGCATGCATCGAGGGAAGTCCCTGGCGGCAGGGCCAAAACCGGCTGCATGCAGCACATTTCGTGCCCCTCCCGCTTCGACCCCCCCTAGAGGACAAAGAGGCGCCCGCGAGTTGCGTTCTGACGATCGCCAGGCACAGAAGCGGCAAACATATACCACAAATTAAAAGAGCATAGCTTTTTTGTGTGCTGCCAGCGTGACCCACAATCAGTGAGTTTATGCACTGTGGACGTGCGAGCTGTGTGCTGCAATCTATGTGATTTAAGCTAAGTTCTGCAAGTTGTGTGGCGCAAGCACCTGATGTAATCTGTACAGATAGATGTATATACACATAGGTATGACCGCTCATGAACAAACCGATACAATAAAAATGGTGCGAGCTGTGTGGTGCATGTCATAATTATGGCGCATGCAAATAGCGCAAGGTGTGCGGACCAAGCTCTGTGAGGCGAACTATGTGATACAAGCTGTGTTGTGCAATCTGTGAGGTGCCAATTTTGCGGTGCACACGCTGTGGCACAAACTGCAGGGCGCCCAGCGGCGGTGAAAGCCTGGAGCCGCCAGCCCCAGCCATCGCACGAGGCTTCAACAGGGATCCGATGAGCCCACGGGCGGCCGTATGCGGCAATCTGGCGGAAGGCCTGCAGGCGCCAGCCAGAGAACGAGGTGCCCACGAGGCGGCCACGGAAGGCCACGCGCGGCGACGGGGCGACCAGCAGGGAGCCGAGAGCCAGAGAACGATGTGCCCGCAGGGCGCCCACGGGCGGCGGCCGAGCGACGGATACAGAGACGCACGCCGAGTGCTGGTGACACCACCCTGCGGGCGATGGGGAGTGTGGGGGGGCGGGACGTGGAGTGGCACGAAGAGCACTCGCAGTCAATTAGGCGCTCAGGAGACAGCCACATGGGACAACCATCGGGACAACAACCGGGACACCGATCCGGACACCCATCGGAAGACCCGTCGGGACAATCATCGGGACAATCGAGGCAGCCATCGGAACAGCGATCGGGATAACCGTCGGGCACCACAGGACAACAACAGCGGGACAACTGCTCGACAACCAATCATCAGGACAACCATCGAGATAACCATCGGTAGACCCATCGGGATAGTTAACCATCGGGACAACCACCAGGACAAACATTGGGACAACCATCGGGACAGCTGCCTGGACGACCATCGCGACAACCGTCGGGACAACCATCGGGAGAACCATCGGGACAACCAACAGGACAACCATCAAGAAAACCACCTAGACAACCATCGGGACAACCATCGGGCCATCGGGGCAACAATCGAGACACTCGTCGGGACAATCATCGCGACAACCACGGGACACCCCCCTGCACGCCCTGGAGGGCCAGACCGCGACTCACCTTGGCGTTACCTGGACATAGCCAGCGCGCAGCTTCGCCTCTCCCGCACGCACGACACTCACGACGACACGAACCGCAACCGAAACCAATCCCCCTGTCGGGGGCCTCCTTTTCACTTCGGCTTCACACCACCAACCTCTGACTTACGAGCCAACGAAGGGGACTGATGTGCTGGCACACTGTGGGTCTGAGGGGGATGTTCCAAATCTCCAGGGGTCAGGTCTCGGGAGGGGGGATGTGGAAGTGGTCGCGACTTGGCTCTGCCTTCCGGGGCTGCTCTTCGCGAGCGATCATCGGAACGATCTTCTCAATTGACTCAAAAGGTCCCATTGTGAGCCGCAAGCGGCGGAGGAGAGCATAGCTACAAGGCTAGTCACAGAAACCACGAACCCTGAATACATGGCATCTCTCAGAAAAAACGAACGTGGCTTCCGCTGGTCTCCGCTGGCCTTCCACTGGTGGAGCCGCCCCCGTCTTGCTTCCATCCGCGTCCACCCAGGAAGCGATGACAGCTGCTCGATCCCTCCAGGGCGAGGGAGGCGTTTTTTTGCCGGAACGGTCCATGTGAGGTGTAATGCTCACAGAGAAGGATGTGAGGAGGCGGAGGATGGAAGAATGCTGGCAGTGGCCGGGTGGTTTTGTGCTGGATGGGCCCCAGGAGAATCCGAAAAGAACGGGAAATATATCAAATCCGCTCACAATCGGTCGCCGGACACGGACCACTCCCGGGATCGGAAAGGACTATTCTGTCGAGTCGCGTCTACCCATGGCGACGTTGGGGCCCCTTTATCCACTCTTCTTGCTGGCCGGGACGGGTGCTGGGCCAAGCACCCCCCAGCCTGCCTGACTCGCGTGCAAACCGCGCCTTGAGGTGGGAGGTCTGCGCGGAGCCCCGAATGTTTGTGTTTCTGCCATTATTTCCCCGTCGAAGCAGAGAAGGAGGGCGATGAGGAGGCGGAGGACGGAGAGGGACGCCCACTGCACCCCCCTCCCAATCCACCCCCCAACGTCAGGCTGCTGGGGAATATCTCGGCTCTCTGGCGGCCGATCGGGAGGATCTGGGCGCTCCGGGAACGCTCTCGGCGAGGCGCAGCCGCTGGAACGCACGTCGAGGCTGGAAGACGTTTGGCGACTTTTGTTTAGCGTGTCACGGCGGCGGCCCCGGCGATACGCTATGCCCTGCGAACAGATAGCGCGTCTATCCGTTCCGCGGGGCGGGGTGCTGGGAAAGGTTCGAGACGTTGACGCCTGGGGGCGGGGACGCGGTAAGCGTGTCGCGCCGAAGCGTTGTGGGCCAGAACCGGCGGCGCGACACGCTCAGCCAAAGATCCTGACCGTATCCCCCACCCTGACGCCAAACCAACTCGCGGGCGAGTCGGGCCTTGAGGATGTCGCCCATGAACTCCGCGGCCTGGAGCCGCTGGTCGTTCAGGAAGGGCACCTGCCTGCTCGCGGGCACCTCCTGGCGCGGGCGGTGCCGCGGGTCGTGCCAACCACCTGGTTCCTCCTCTTCCTCCTTCTCCTCCTCCTCCTCCTCCTCCTCCTCCTGTGCACTGGCGCACAGCAGCTAGAGTTCAGACATGTTCATCTACACTGTCATGTTCATCCCCATGCTCATCTTCTTCCCCATGTTGTACGTTTTCTTCTCCAAAGGCCTCCAGCCTGCTCATCCTCCTCGTGCACCTGTTCGCCCACGGCGCCTGAACATTCCCACTGGAGCAACGGCCAGCACGGCGGACAGTGGTCCCAGGGCCACGGCGGCTGGAGCTCCAGAGGCGCCAGCTCCTGGCAGCAACCGCGCCTGCTCTGGAGCGGGCTCACCAACGAGGAACTCCGCGCCGCTGGCGAGAAGAGTGGGTCACAGAAGATGGAGAAAACCGTCAGCGCCTGTCTCACGCAGCTCGTCCCATCACTCTTGGGCACGATGGGGGTGACAATGCCTGCCTCGTCTCCAGGAGCCGTGCCAGAAGCGGCTGGACCGTTGGCGCCTACGCCTGGAGGCTTCCTGCAGCACACCACCACGCCACTCAGCAACGAGGCGGCGAGGTCCTCCGAGCTCGCCGACGCTCTCGCCCGCGACCCCAACTTGGCGGCAGCGGTGGCTGAGCGCACGATGAAGCGGGTCGCGCAGCCTGGGCCGCCGGAGCCTGCTGCCAAGCGCACGAGGGGCCTGGGCATTGCAGTGTCCGGTAAGAGCAGCGCCGTCGTGCACCCAGTCATCTGGCTCCACTGGCAGGCCAACCTGGGCTGCGGCAAGCTCCCAAGGAACAGCACCACAGACTACGTTGTCAACCTCCATGCCAACGACGTTGAGGTGATGAGAAAGGCCGCCGGGGTGATCACGAACAACCCGGAGCACCCCCTCGTCAAGCAGCTCGGTCGGAGGGCCCAGAAGCAGCCGAAGCTCTGCGCTGCTCTGGCAATCCTCGCCGACGAGGCCGTGGAGGAGTACGCGGACGAGCGAGACGGGCCCAGTGATGATCACTAGGGACAACGCGGTGGCGCCGGTGCATGGATCAGTTTGTTCTACATGATTGTGTTCTACATCCTATGCGTTTCCACTATGATCGGTATTTTGTTCGGCGCTGCCAGTGCCATGTGGGAACTGGCCTGGGCAGTGACCTCCGAGAGCACTCTTTTGAAGCTAGTCGTCGGAGAGACGATTGGGACAGATACCCGCTTCAATGTGGTCGACTTGATAGTCACGACTGCCATCGCTCTGCTCGGCCGGGACAGAATGCCGTGGTTGAGCATGATTGGTTGTGCGTTCGCTTTCCTCCTATACGTGTCTCCGCTCATGCCACAGTGGGTTCGTGTTACGCATGCTGTTGGGACAGGCTGTGGGGTTCCCTCCAGCCGGCGCGGTGCCGCAGAATGGCTTCCAGCACGGCGCGGGGCTGCAGCAGATGCCCCAGCAGTTTCCGTTTGCCGCAGCGCCTCCTGGGTACAGATGCCAGATGGGCTGGACATACCCAGGGTACGTGGGCTTCGGAGCCCCGCCGCCGAAGTGGCAAGCGCAACCGGCATGGCAGTACAACCCCAGCCTGCAGCGGCAGACCGCTCAACAGAGACATGGAGGAGACGGCAGCAGCCGCTGGCACTGGCCTTCACGTGGAAGAGATACCTGAATTCATGTATGCTGACCCTAACGCGATACGCCACCTACACCGCGGGCTGAGTAAGCCGAGCTGCTTCGAGCTGACGTATCCCATACGTCTTTCAGGCGTGTCGCATTCACCCAGTGTCCCCACTTGTCCCTTGCTCTGCTTCCCTTTCGCCCTCTCCTCCCCTTAGCCCTCTCCACCCGCTCTCTGCCACAGCACGGGAGATGACAGTGATAGGTTGCTGCTGCCATTCAACTCCCAGGCGGTTTAGACCGGAACTCAAGGGGGGCATGAAATCTTGTTTGCTTACTCGCACACACGTGTGGGTCGCTTGGAAATGCAGAGAAGACGAGGAGCATCAGAAAGGACTCCTCCTCCTCCTCGTCCTGGTCGTCTCCTCCTACGTAATCATCCTCCTTCCTCCTGCTCCTTCCTCCGTCCTCCTCCCTCCTCTTCCTCCTCCTTCCTTCCTCATCCTCCTCATCCTCCTTCCCTCTCCACCTGTTCCTCCTCCACCTCCTTATCTATCCTCCTCCTCCTCGTCATCATCATCTTCTTCCTCCTTCTCCCCCTCTTCATCGTCGTCCTCCTCCTGCTCCGCTCCTCCACTCCTGCGCCCACTCGTATCCTTCCTCCATCCCTTCCTTGCTCCTCCCCCTCGGGCAACAGCACCATCATCGCGAGGGGCATGGGAGGGTCTTCCTGGTCGCGTGGCTAGCCCCAGTCTTGCGGCGTCCCACTGGAGGCTCGAGAAGACTTGCCCAGAGGGTTTTCACAATCATCAGCCCTCGGAAACTGTTCCCAGGCCCGGGGGCCGTGAAAAATCACTCTGGAGGTCACCTGGCCTCTCGACCCCTTAACCCTGCCTTGACCTCGCGATCCCTTGGCTCGAGCCTCTGGTTCCCTGAACTCTTGCCTCTCGAGGTCACGGGACCGGAGACTCGAGCAATAAACGAGACGTCGGGGGTGTGGGTCCGAAGCGCCGCCAGTCGCGCTCAACCCCGCAGTGTCATGGCCGTCCACGGCGAAGGCACAACCGAAAAAAGACCGAGCCGACAACAAGCCCGAAGCCGACCGAAACCGACAGGCCGCAGGACGCAGACCGCAGCGACGCAGCAACGGCACAATAACCGACCGAACCGAAACGACCGAACGCGACCGACTGCGACGCAGCCGAGGCGACCGAACTGCGGACACCTTTCTTGAGTGTCGAGAAGGGGGGGGCGCGGGAGGAAGGGGGGGTGGCGGGGACGAGGGGTGGGGTGGGGGTTGCAGACCGAAACCAGGGTCCAGGCTTGTGATCGGGCCGAGACCCAAGCCGCAGCCCAAGCCGAAGCTGTGGGGCGTAGGACTTCTCAAAGAATGGAGGGGGGGGAAAGAGAGAGAGAGAGAGAGAAAGAAAGAAAGAAAGAAAGAAAGAAATAAAGAAAGGGTAAAGGAAGGCAAGATTTGTTTGATGTCGACGCTAGTGAAGCAGAGAACTTGTCAGCAGAGGCCTGCACGCAACTCGCACATTATTCATGAGATAACACCTGTGCCAGGGCACCAGGAAGGAGGGAGGGGAACCCCTCTGGCGCGTTGCCTCCCCCCGCCTCCTCCTCCACTCCCCGTCGGGTGCCCCGTCCTGCCGCTCCTCAGTCCAGCGCCCTTCCCAGAAAGGCTGGTGGGGGTCGCGAAAATTCTTAGCCCGCAGGGTAGGGCGGCTAGAAATTCAGCCGAACCTACATGTAATGTTAGATGCCCCACACGTGCGGCATCTAACATTACCTACCCGCTGTGGCTTCTGACTGGCCGATTGGCCCGATCGACCGACCAAACGGCCTCCCCAGCGCGCTTCACACGGAGCTCGTTCTGTCGCCCCGCCCGGCACATCTGAGGACTAACGCTGGCATCGGTTGTTGCATCTCCGCGCGCCTCGATCTGGTCGGAGCTTCCCTCAGGCCCTGAGCTATGCCCAGCGAGCCCGCCTCTCTCTTTCCACGCCACCCTCCCCCCAACTTCCTCATTCCTGCTCCCTTCTCCGCTCCGCTCCAATTCAATCTCCTTTACCTCCCTGCCCCCCTCCAACCTCCGTCCTTCTCCCTTCTACGACCTCCTCCCTCATCACGGTCCCATCCACCTCCCACCCTCACTGCGCCTTGAGACGCGCTGGTTGCGTGGCCTTCGCGAGGCTGTGGTGAAGACCATCAAAGACTCTGCCCCAGCGGGAGGAGCAAAGTGAGGAGTGATGGGGGGAAGAGGAGGGACTCCTCCTCCTCCGCCTCCTCCTCAGACCTCCAAAAGCCATGGGACCAAAGATGCTGACTTACGACTCTCACCTCCGCCGCCTTCCGCCGAGCCCTCCGCTGGTGGACCCGCCGCCATCTTACTTACTCGATCCTCGAGCCTCGAGCCTCGATCCTCGGAGAAAGCGAAAACCTCTCTAGACCGTCCTAGCTGCGACTGGCCCCCCTCCCTGGCTGTCAACGACGCGCCGACGGGGAGCCTTGCCGCGCGCTGGGAACAAGGCGACGGTTGGGAAGCGCTTCGGCTGCGCGACGCCGTTGCGGGAGGCGTCGATCCACGTGATCTCCAAGGATTTCACGTGCCTTCGGAGGCGCGCGGGGCCAGATCCTCCCAGGAAGGTGTTGGTGAGGAGCCTCTCAGAGAAGCACAACAGGCACGTCTACCATGATTGCTGGACGCAGGGATCCCCATGCGCGAATACCTCCTCTGGCAAGTTCCCTGGGGGACTGCAATGAACAGTGAAAAATGAGTGAGTCGGAGTGCCCGTGCGATTGTAAATGGTTGACTGTGTACAGCTGGGGCTGAAATGTAAGTGGATCTGGGCATGACTGCATCTCCCTTGCCAGATCCCCCTGGGGGTGCCCAAGTGCAGTGGTGAATCTAAGAGGCGCGATGCGGATCTGTATGCAGCAACGTCGCCTCAACCGAGCAGCGAGCTGCTTGTACTCCTTCTTGAACTGCTGGCAAAACCCGCAGCCATCGCCGTACCTGAGACGCGCCCACTCAGGCGAAGCGTGATCATGAGACGCGGGATCAGGGGCAACATTAGGGGTGACCAGCTGACAGGGGGAAGCTTCGACCTGGAATTGGCGATACATCGCCGATAGATCGGCGATGTGCCCCCGATAGCGAATCCGCGCCCTGCTCAGCGGGGTGAAGCTATCCGGCCCCAATCGCCGATCAATGGGCCACTGGGGGTCGATGCATCCCCCTGGACCTTTCCCCCCCAACGTTGCCCCTGATGGGAACGACCACCCGAACGTCCCGCACAACTGCATATCAACGTCGGGGCATGTATAATGGGTCTGGCCATCCGCAAGACGCGCCAGCCATTCAATAATCAGCAGAGCTGGCACCGACGCCCGAAAACCTGCATGAGAAAGGGGAGGAGGAGACCGGAGGGAGATGCAGAAGACAGAAGGGTGCGGAAGACAAGGGCGAGGATAACGAGAGATGGGGCGGTCGAGGCGACGAGGATACATAATGGTTCAGACGGGAAGCAGACGGAGCATGAACAACTGGATGAGCAAGGCGAGGAAGAGCAGAAGCAGAGGATGCAAGATGAGGGCAAGGACACGTGCAGGAGGGAGCAGAGGAAGGAGTGAGAAGAGAAAACAGGAAGAGAAAGGAAAATCATGAAACGAGGGAGGAATGGTGGCAAGGAGAGGAGGAGGTAGACGGAGGAGTAAATAGGAGGGAGGAGGGAAGCGAAGGGAGGGATGGGGGAGGGAAGTGGAGGGACAAGGCGAGACGAGGAGGAGGAGGAGGAAGAGGGACGAGGAGGAGAGAAAGGAGGAGGATGAGAGGAGGACAACGCTGGGGAAAGGGGAGGGGGGAAACACGCATGAGAGAGGATGAGCAGAACGACCATGAGGACGGCACGCTTCCGAATTCTCTGCCGCCCCCTTCCCTGATGACCTCCTCTGTCAACGAAACCATGCATTGCCTTTTCAGCATGCGATGGGAAATTCGGATTCGCCCTGGTGGTGACGGTAACGGTGGAGGTGGTTGTCGAGGCGGCGGTGATCATGATGATGGCGTCAGCGTCCCAACAGGAGCACCCTCCAAATCATCGTCTCGGGAGCGTGCTCCAAGCCCAAGTTCAGTCTCCCAATTTCTCCAGGGTGTTGCGTTTACCTGGCCGCAAAATCACCCGATAACACCGAGGATAAGAGCGCATACGTTATTATCGGCATCATAATCATCACCCCCACCATCACCAACCTGCTGATCATCAACCTGCCCATCAGCACCATCAGCATCAGCATCATCATCACCATCATCATCGCCCTCATCACCGTCGTCTCCATCACCCTCATCACAACCATCATCATCAGCATCACGATCATCATCATCACCACGATCTCCACCACCATCACTACCATCATCTCAATATGTACCATACTTGTCATCACCTTGCAGAGGCGGAGGAGGGGGAGGAGGGGGCAGGAGGGCGTTGGTTGGAGTTGGTGGGATGGGCGGAGGGAGGGGGGAGGTGAAGGCGAGGCATCGAGCGTAGATCAGGTCTGAGTGCGTTGTGCCCAGGGACCAATAGACCAGCGTATCCTTCTCTGGGTTCTTTGTGACCTGCGATTGCATCGACTGGAAGGGTAAGGAGCAGAAGGAAAAGAGGGGATGAACGGAGAAGAAGGCAAATAGAGGAGAGGGAGAACGATGGGCAACGGGCAGAAGCCGACGAAGAGATACCAGTACGGTTGCACGTTCAAACAATGACCTGAAGGATGGACAATTATTCTCTGAGACTGGGGCTAGACTTCCAGCGCTGGGTTCGACTTCCCTGGGAGGACTGGGAGGCTAGTGGGGAGGAATGCATTTCGCGTGCACGACTGGTTTACTAGTTTTCCATCCTTGTCTGGCACGCTAGCAAGGTCTAGGCAAGTCACACACTGCCTCGGCGCATCCACAGTCGCCTGCTCTTCCGTCTCAAGCGAATAATGGGCACGCACAAATGGAAACAAGCGCCCTCGCAATAACCTCAACGCCATGGTTCCCTGTTGTGTCCGCCATTGTCTCTCACGCTGTCTCGGAGTTATCTGCAATGCGAATTCCTTGGTTTGGCAATCCTGTAGCTGCTGCACTGCCTTATTCGGCCCCTCAGGGGCCAGTTGCGAGCCCTCGCCTTTTCCCATGGCTATTTGCATCACCTCCTTCTTTGGTGCATTTTCGTCGGTCCCACTGCTCTCTACATTCTCTGGACGCAAGAGACATACGTAGGCTTGCTGCTAGCGCAGGGCAAGCAGATAAGGACGGAGAGGAGAATGATTTGGATGAGCAGGAGGGAGCAGGGAGACATCAGGGAGGGAGATGCAAGTGGCACGCGTACTTAGGATGGTACAACCAGTGAAGCGAGCGAAGCCGGTCTGGAAAGGGCCGCAGGAGTCAGAGGACATGGGCTGGGAGGCAGGGAGTCGAAGGGCGGGGGGGCTCCTTCCCCCCTCTTACATACACCTCAGCATGCCAAATCAAGTCATCTCGATTGACAAAAAATCTCAGGTTGAGGAGCCACGGGCCGCCAGACAAGAAGTCATAGGACGGGGGGAGGGAGCTTCGGGGGTCGACAGGAAGGAGAGGACGACGACGGAACGGACGAAACGGCTCGACAGGAGGCGGCACGCCTTGCCTGGGTCTCGCACGAGGGAGCGGCGGTTAACAGGAAGAGTAGGGGGGCGAGGAAGAGGTGGAACCTGACTGGGCCATCCTGCCGCTCTCCTGGGGCCGTCTCGGGCCACCGTCGGCCTCGTCGGCGCCGGCGCGGGTGCCCCTCGCGGCCGTCTGAAAGCCCCGCTTATTCGGGCCCTCGCGGGGTGGACTCGGGCCATCGGGAAGTCGTCCCGGCGCTGGCTCGGGAGGCGTCATGACAAACCCTGGGGCCCAGTGGAGCATGGGAGCTCGTGGGGGCTACGTGGGCCCTCTCGGATGCCTTGCCTGGGCCTCGCCTGAGAGACAGCATGGTGTGGAAAGGGGGATACCTCGAAAAAGAATGCATACCTCTGCTGGATCACAACCTTCACGTCTCAGAGACGTTGCGCGACCTATCTTGGAACCTCTTGGGGCCATCTTGGGGAATGATGGGTCGTCGTTGAAGTTTCTTGCCTCAAGAAGGTCAGGAAGGGCAAACGATACCCAACAACCTGGCTGATCCATCCTCGAGGCGCAGAAATTGTATGATGACCCAGACCTCTGACGTGGTGGCTTTCCAACACATGGGCCATGGACCTTTCCACCCCTTCCCAGAGACAGGTGTTCATTCTGGACCAGTTCTGGTTGTCGAATTGCCCGAAACGGGGCTTCTCAAATCAACGACACATGCCGACCAGGAGATCACGACGACGGAGGTCAGGGGAAGAGTAGGGGTCGTAGAAGGGCTGGCCAAGTTGCTGCCACCCTCATCGTTCGCATCTGGGGGCAGCTGGGGGAGCAAAAGCAGTACCATTCACACGCCGCCTTGGGGAACCTATCAGCGCGTTACTGTCAAATGAACACAATGTCTTCGGTGAAACACGAAGGAGTACCTCCCAGTTACCCCGACCTCACTGCTCGACGCCCCTTGGTCGTTGCGATCTGCGGAACCGTCGCTAGTTCGACATCAATATTTGACCTCGCCGTCTCCTGGGGGCCGCGAACTGCGCAACTGCCCCCACTTTCGTGGGCTCCTGGGAAGCCCAGCGGAATGACGACACACCCAAACCTAAGTTCGACCTCGCCGCCCCTGAGGGCTGCGGAACAGTTCAACTGTGCCAATGTTGGCGGGGTGCAGGGAGGCTCAGCTGAGTGACGTCACACTCAGATCTGGATGAGACCTCGCCGTCCCAGAGGGGCTGCGCAACTTCCTCGACTTTCGTAGGCTCCTGGCAGGCCAAGCGGAGTGCCTTCATACCCAGATCAGAGGTGGACCTCGCCGTCCCTGGGACTGTGGAACGCGAAAGTGTCGACAAGTTCGTTGGTTCGTGGGAGGCCGAGCGGGATGGCAATCATACCCAGATCTGAACTAGACCTCGCCGTCCCTTGGGGCCGCGAACTGCGCAACTGTCTCATGTCGGTCGGCTCCTGGGAGGCTCAGCGGCGTGACGTGATACCCAGATCCAGATTCGACCTCGCCGTCCCTGGCGGTCTGCGAGGCGAGAAGCCGTCGCCAGCCGTCCCGACGTTCGTGGGCTCGCAGGCGGCCCGGCACGAGGCGGTCGTACCCAGACCTGGAGGAGACCCTGCCGCCCCGGGGAAGCTGCGCTGGGCGCAACCGCCTCCACTCTCGTTGGCTCCTCAGAGGCTCGGCACAGATCTGACTTAGCTCGTGTTGCCCCTTGGGGCTGCGAAGTTCACGAGGGTCGACACTTTCGTGGGCTCCTGGGAGGCCCGGCGAGGTGGCAGCCATGCCCACGTCAGAGTCAGACCTCGCCGCTCCTGGAGGCCACGCTCGCCTCATCCGCCCCCCCCTGTCGTCCCACCTACACCTCCTGCCACTTCAACCTCCCCCGTGAGCCGTGCAGGCTGTGGCAGTTGTACTTTCGCAACACACCGCGCTCATTGAAAAAAGTCTTCCGGAAGGATCTGGGCTACCGATCTGGTCGCGCGGTGCAGGTGGGCCAGGCAAGTCGCATTGGTAATGCTTTGAGGTGTTGGGACTTTGTGTGGGGCCGCCGGAGGCCTCACGGGACCTCTGGAAACTTCCACGGGGATCTCCACGGACCTCCTGGATAGGGGGGGGGGACAAGAGGAAGGATGAGGAGGGAGGAAGTGGAAGGAGGAGGGCAGAGAGGAGGGGAGGAAGGGAAGAAGCGGAGGAAGGAAGGAGGAGGAATGAATGGGAGGAGTTGACGGAGGAGGATTGTGGGAGGGAGAAGGTGGGAGGAGGGCGGTGGAATGAGGAGGGAGGAGGTGGGAGAAGGAGGGACGAGAAAGAGGAAACACGCCCGCCTCTTCGTTCTCTATCTCCCGCACCCCCCTAGGAGCCAGCGGGGCTATCTGCAGTTTCCAAGTGTATGGCCCTCGCCGCTGGCACCCCTCAAGTCTGGACGTGCAGGGGAGGGCCGAGGGCACCGATCCATCAGGATAGAACTGCTCGTATGGCATGGGTCGCACATGAGGGACGAAAGGAGGAGGCGGAGGAGAACAAGCACGAGGAGCCGCAGCAGGACGGGAGCGAGGAGGGAAGGACAACCGAAGGAGGCCAGAGGGGCACGTTCTCGAGTCGGCACTGCCCCATGCCGCTCCCAGCTCTGCGATTGGAGGAGCCGACCCACCGGAGCTGCGCCTGGCCGTGGCGACAAGACGCCTCCTGGATGCTCAAGCAATTCCCCCCGACGACGCCAACGACGACGACGACGTCGTCGGCCGCTGGCGGAGAAGGCATCTGCTGCGAGATGTTGTTTTCTTACGCGTGGCAGCGGCTGTACCTGAGATGGCGAAGCAGGGACATCCACGCACCCAGAATGGGCTGAACAGGCAGCTAGATCATCTCGAAGTCTCGGGGAAGAGAAGGAGTGGGAGTGGGAGGAGGAGGAGGAGGAAGCGGAGGATAAGTGGGAAGACGAAAACGACGAGGGACGAGGGGAGCAGGAGGAGGACATGAGGGAGGTCAGGCGAGAGGGGGGTAGAGTAGAGGGGACGGAGAGGGAAGAGGAGAGGGAGAAGGAGCAGACAGAGGAGGCGGAGGGCCAGGAAGAAAAGAAGTATAAGGCGGAAGAGGTAAAGAGAGCAGAGGAGGACGAAGATGGGGGACGCGGAAGAGGATGATAGGTGGATGGTGTAGAGGAGGAGACGGAGGAGGATGACGTTGGGGTAATGATGGAGGGGGGGGGAAAGGCTGGCGCAAGCGAAGACGAGCAGCGAGAAGAGGGGGGCACGGCCAAGGTGGCGCAGCGCGATGCCAGACAAGCGGTCTCAGGCCGGCGCGGATGCTCAAGCCAACCCAGGAGCGAGTCCCCTCTTGCCGTGGGTCTTGGCCACCTGGGCGTAGACCGACAAGTACTCTGCGAGATAGCCGACGGGGTCCTTCAGAGGAGGAAAACGTACGAAATGGAAGGATGGGGGGAGGGATGAAGAGAGGCCACACCGAGCGGGTGGAGGAGCAGCTGCAGGATGAAGCGGTCTAGGGAAAACTGGACAACATATGTTTGTCTGTGAGGACATCAGCCAATGACCCCTTCCACTCTGGACGTATCAGATATGTTGTGCCGACTACGAGCGCGCCAGCCACAGCAAATCCCACCAGCCCTTTAGGGCGCAGGTGGTCTAGAGCGTTTCCTCTGCCAACCCCCTTGTTTCCCTTCGGGGAGGGGCTTACTCCTCCCCTAACCCCTCCCCGCCGACCTCGACGAGGGGTTCCGCGGGTCGTTGGGACGTCCAAGATGGCCCAAGACGGCTCCAAGAGCGAAAAGCGAACAAAAACACAAAACATTGATTCCCCTTTGGTTTTGGAAGGATGTTCGCCTCTTGGGGGGGGCCCAAGAAGCGATTCGAGGCACTCTAGAGGGGCAGCGCTAATATGCGACCCCCCCTTCTTTGATAGATCTCTTCCAAGATGGCCCCAAGAGCGCCGCGAAGGCTCCCAACAACGCCCCAAAAGCGCCCCAAGAGGGCCCCCAGAGGCCCCAAGAGGCCCCCAAGAGGCCTCCGAGAAGCTCCCAAAAGACCCCCAAGAGGCCCCAAGAGGCTCCCAAGATGGCCCAAAACGGTTCCAAGAGCGAAAAAGCGAAAAAGCACAAAACATTGACGTTCCCTGGGTTTTGAAAGGATTTTGGCTTCAAGAAGGGCCCAAGAGGCGATTCGAGGCACTCTAGAGGGGCAGCGCTAATCTGCGACCCCCCCCCCTCCTTTTGATAGATCTACACCAAGATGGCCCCAAGAGCGCCCCGAAGGCTCCCAAGAGCGCCCCAAGAGGGCCCCAAGAGGGCCCCAAGAGGCCCCAAGAGGCCCCCAAGAGGCCTCCGAGAGGCCCCCAAAAGACCCCCAAGAGGCCACAAGAGGCTCCCGATATACGCAAGAGGCCCCCGGGACCGCCAAGAGGCCCCAAAGACTGCCCAAGAGGCCCCCAAGCTCGCCATTGTCCTCCTCCTCTTTTTCTTCCTCCTCCCTCCTCCCCCTCCCCCTCCTCCTCCTCCACCTCCTCCCTCCCTCCTCCTCCTCCTCCTCCTCCTCCTCCTCCTCCTCCTTCTCCTGTTCCTCATTCTCGTCGTCCTCGTCCTCGCAGTCCTCCATCTCCTCCTCCTCATCTTCCTCCTCCTCCTCCTCCTCCTCCTCCTCCTCCTCCTCCTCCTCCTCCTCCTCCTCCTCCTCCTCCTCCCCCTCCCACTCCTGCTCCTCCGGCAGGGGGGGGGGAGGGACAGCCCAGGCAGCACTCGAGGCCAACGGGGCCCGGGAAAGGACAGCCCACTGCGGGCCAAGGTGCTTAACCTGGGTGGGGCCCACTGCGGGAAAAACCCACCCAAACGAATGCAATGGAAATTATCCCGGCAAAGCAGCCTAACATCGATGTGTAGGAGCATATCTGGAAGCATTCCCCTTAAGATTCGGATGAGAATCCAGTTGTAGAATTCTGCTGTTCTCGCAGTCGTAGTCGCATTCGCGATGACAGTCGCAGTGGCAACGGCAGTCGCAGTCACAGCCTCAGCCTCAGCCTGCCTCAGCCTCAGCCTCAGCCTGCCTCAGCCTCAGCCTGCCTCAGCCTCAGCCTCAGCCTGCTTCAGCCTCAGCCTCAGTCTGCCTTCAGCCTCGGCCTCAGCCTCAGCCTGCCTCAGCCTCAGCCTGCATCAGCCTCAGCCTCAGCCTCAGCCTGCCTCAGCATCAGCCTGCCTCAGCCTCAGCCTGCCTCTGCCTCAGCCTCAGCCTGCTTCAGCCTCAGCCTCAGCCTCAGCCTCAGCCTCAGCCTCAGCCTCAGCCTCAGCCTCAGCCTCAGCCTCAGCCTGCAGCCTCAGCCTCAGCCTCAGCCTCAGCCTCAGCCTCAGCCTCAGCCTCAGCCTCAGCCTCAGCCTCAGCCTCAGCCTCAGCCTGCCTCAGCCTCAGCCTGCAGCCTCAGCCTCAGCCTCAGCCTGCCTCAGCATCAGCCTCAGCCTCAGCCTCAGGCCTGCAGCCTCAGCCTCAGCCTGCTTCAGCCTCAGCCTCAGTCTGCCTGCAGCCTCGGCCTCGGCCTCAGCCTGCCTCAGCCTCAGCCTGCCTCAGCCTCAGCCTCAGCCTGCCTTCAGCCTCAGCCTCAGTCTGCCTTCAGCCTCCGCCTCAGCCTCAGCCTGCCGCAGCCTCAGCCTGCATCAGCCTCAGCCTTAGCCTCAGCCTGCCTCAGCCTCAGCCTGCATCAGCCTCAGCCTCAGCCTGCCTCAGCCTCAGCCTCAGCCTGCTTCAGCCTCAGCCTCAGTCTGCCTTCAGCCTCGGCCTCAGCCTCAGCCTGCCTCAGCCTCAGCCTGCATCACCTCAGCCTCAGCCTCAGCCTGCCTCAGCATCAGCCTGCCTCAGCCTCAGCCTCAGCCTGCCTCAGCCTCAGCCTCAGCCTGCTTCAGCCTCAGCCTCAGTCTGCCTTCAGCCTCGGCCTCAGCCTCAGCCTGCCTCAGCCTCAGCCTGCATCAGCCTCAGCCTCAGCCTCAGCCTGCCTCAGCATCAGCCTGCCTCAGCCTCAGCCTCAGCCTGCCTCAGCCTCAGCCTCAGCCTGCTTCAGCCTCAGCCTCAGTCTGCCTTCAGCCTCGGCCTCAGCCTCAGCCTGCCTCAGCCTCAGCCTGCATCAGCCTCAGCCTCAGCCTCAGCCTGCCTCAGCATCAGCCTGCCTCAGCCTCAGCCTCAGCCTGCCTCAGCCTCAGCCTCAGCCTGCTTCAGCCTCAGCCTCAGTCTGCCTTCAGCCTCGCCTCAGCCTCAGCCTGCCTCAGCCTCAGCCTGCATCAGCCTCAGCCTCAGCCTCAGCCTGCCTCAGCCTCAGCCTGCCTCAGCCTCAGCCTCAGCCTGCCTCAGCCTCAGCCTCAGCCTGCTTCAGCCTCAGCCTCAGTCTGCCTTCAGCCTCGGCCTCAGCCTCAGCCTGCCTCAGCCTCAGCCTGCATCAGCCTCAGCCTCAGCCTCAGCCTGCCTCAGCATCAGCCTGCCTCAGCCTCAGCCTCAGCCTGCCTCAGCCTCAGCCTCAGCCTGCTTCAGCCTCAGCCTCAGTCTGCCTTCAGCCTCGGCCTCAGCCTCAGCCTGCCTCAGCCTCAGCCTGCATCAGCCTCAGCCTCAGCCTCAGCCTGCCTCAGCATCAGCCTGCCTCAGCCTCAGCCTCAGCCTGCCTCAGCCTCAGCCTCAGCCTCAGCCTTCAGCCTCAGCCTCAGTCTGCCTTCAGCCTCGGCCTCAGCCTCAGCCTGCCTCAGCCTCAGCCTGCATCAGCCTCAGCCTCAGCCTCAGCCTGCCTCAGCATCAGCCTGCCAGCCTCAGCCTCAGCCTCAGCCTCAGCCTGCCTCAGCCTCAGCCTGCAGCCTCAGCCTCAGCCTCAGCCTGCAGCCTCAGCCTCAGCCTCAGCCTCAGCCTCAGCCTCAGCCTCAGCCTCAGGCCTCCTCCTCAGCCTCAGCCTCAGCCTGCCTCAGCCTCAGCCTGCATCAGCCTCAGCCTCAGCCTCAGCCTCAAGCAGCCTGCCTCAGCCTCAGCCTCAGCCTCAGCCTCAGCCTCAGCCTCAGTCTGCCTCCTTGGCCTCAGCCTCAGCCTCAGCCTGCCTCAGCCTCAGCCTGCATCAGCCTCAGCCTCAGCCTCAGCCTCAGCCTCCTCAGCATCAGCCTGCCTCAGCCTCAGCCTCAGCCTGCCTCAGCCTCAGCCTGCAGCCTCAGCCTCAGTCTGCCTTCAGCCTCGGCCTCAGCCTCAGCCTGCCTCAGCCTCAGCCTGCCTCAGCCTCAGCCTGCAGCCTCAGCAAGCCTCAGCCTCAAGCCTCAGGCCCGGCCTGAATGAATTCTGTGGCCCGGGACTGGGAACTCGAAGAACACGAAGTGGCCTACAGTTGGCTCCGGGCATTCAAAATCATGCCCAGGAATGGAATTCTGGGAACTCGAAGATCACGAAGTGGCCTACAGTTGGCTCGGGGCATTCAAAATGTGGCCCGGGAATGGAGTTCTGGGAACTCGAAGAGCACAAAGTGGCCTACAGTTGGCTCCGGGCATCCAAAATGTGGCCCGGGAATGGAGTTCTGGGAAGTCGAAGAGCACAAAGTGGCCTACAGTTGGCTCCGGGCATCCAAAATGTGGCCCGGGAATGGAGTTCTGGGAAGTCGAAGAGCACGAAGTGGCGTACGGTTGGCTCCGGGCATTGAGAATGTGGCCCGGGAATGGAGTTCTGGGAAATCGAAAAGCACGAAGTGTGTAACTGTATGCGAAAAACGATCCCCCCCGGCAAGCCCCAACGGCCCCCCAACGGCTCCCCAACGGCCCCCAACGGCTCCCCAACGGCTGCCCAGACCCCCCTGTGGAGTAATGTTGGAGTAATGTGCTGCTCTCTTCCTACCCCACTAGAAACCTATCAGTCTTCGATGTTAGGTAAAAAATCGAACGCCCCGAACAAATGCCTTTGGCGTCGGCCCGGGGTCCCACGTCTCGCGGAAAAGAAAGCAAACCTGTGGCGATCGCCTCTTGGAGACGCAGCTGCTGGCCGAGGGCGGCCGGCACAAGGGAAAAAGGGAGGGGGCAAAGGAGGAGAGGGAGACGGGGGGCGGTCGGCGTCGTTCCCAGGGGGTCGTCGGTCGTGGGGGTCGGTCATCGTCGTCGGCTGTGGTTGTCCGCTGCTGCGGCTGGTGTCTGCGGGGCTGCGCGCTGCGTCGCTCCGGGCACCCGCGCCCGCGCCCCTGCTGGCTCGGAGCGGGGCTGCCCCTGCCTTGCCTTGTGGCCGGACCTCAACCTCACCGGCCGATGGCGGCCAGCAGCGCCTCCGCATTGCCCACGTGGAGCAAACAACTCAATTGCTGCCAGGCGTAGCGTAGCACCTCGGTGCGGGTTGCTCCCTCGAGGCCGTGCGCCAAGGAACGCACATAGGCCACGGCGGCGTCCCCCAGGCGGCCGCCCGTTTCGAAGACGATGGGGACCAGATCGCCTCCGTGAGGTGGGTACCTCTGGCGCTTGGCGTCCACGCGGCTCTGGGCTGCAAGGCCGTCCCGACTGGAGCGTGCCCGCTGGCGCGACGGATCGTCGCTGTGAGTGCAGGCGATGCTTGTGTCGAGGTAAACCCTGTTGCCCGTTACCGCGTCGCGAGTGGCGACGTCCAGCTTGGCCTCTTCCAGCACCCCTGTCCTGGGGTGGGTGCGGTGCCCAGCCGTGACCAGTTGCTCCGTGATGGCTGCGTAGCCTGTGACCCTGTGGTGGTAGGCCGCGCAGAAGTCGCGCATGGCGTCGTGTTTCCCCGTTTTGAAAGGGCTGCACGGGCATTTCAGCGCGTGTCTCCCTCGCCTGTCCAGCGCCACGCCGCAGACGGTGCCGTCCTGCTTGCGGAGGCGACACGTCGCTCCAGGGGCGCAGAGATCACAGCGGAGCCGATCTGCCAAAGCCATCAGGAAGTGTTCGCTGGGGACTTTCGCCGGCGTGTCCCCCTCCCCAACGTTGTAGTGGAGTCGAAGGGAAGCCCCTTCCCTTTGATCCCTTCCCCGCCAGGGGGGGGGGTCCCTGGGAAGTCCTGGGACAGACACGACTCCCCCCCGGGCGGTTCGGGGGCCCAGAAAAGCCCCAAGACGCAGCAAAAATGCCCCAAGATGCCCCGAAAACGGTCCTCGGGGGCTCCGAATCGCCGAAGTCTCGAAGTCTCGGTCCAAGTCGCCAGGTAGCCTCCATACGGCTCAAATGGTTTCCAAAACGTCCCAAGAGGCCTCCAAGAGGACTTCACAGAGGGCACCAAGGAACAAAAATCATGGATTGCCCTTGGCTGTTTGAAAGATTTCGGCATTCTCGCCTTGTCAGCTTCCCGACGCTCCAAGACAGACCGAGAGGCCCCCCAAGACTGCCCCAAGATGGCCCAAGAGGGTTCCAAGAAAGCCACAAATCGACCCAAGAGGGCCCCAAGACCGTCCAAGAGGCCTCCAAGACAGTCGAAGAGGCTCCCAACACGGTTGTAAGAGGGAGCGGGAGCCCAGACGGGAGACCCGAACGGACATTTCGAGCTCTCGGCTTGCAAAGCTCTCAGGAGACCCCCAGAGGCCCCTAAGAAGCCCCCCAAGAAGCCCCAAGAGGCCGCCAAGAGACCCACAGGAAGCCCCAAGAGCTCCCCACGAGGCTCCCAAGCGGCCCCCAAGAGCTTCCCAAAAGGCCCCCAAACTACCCCCAGGAGGCCCCCGAGAGCTTCGTCGTTGTGGTCGTGGTTGTCGCCGCCATGTAGGGTCGACTACGTGGCGACTACGTGGTTGTCGCCGCCATGCAGGCCTTCGCAATACGTTGTGCCGACTACGTGGTGCAAACTACATGGTCCACGCTGTGTGGTGCAGGCTACCTGTGGTGAAAGGAAAGGTATGGGGTGATCGCTCGCTATGTTGTGCAAGCTATGTGTCGCAAGCTGTGTGATGGAAGGTATGCAGTGCAAGCTATGTGAGGTAAGCTATGGCGGCAGCAATGTAGTGCAAGCTGTGCTAGCCATGTGGTGCAATCTGTGTGTTGCGTTTGTGGTGCAAGCTACGTGTCGCAAGCTATGTGACGGAAGGTGTGCGGTGCAAGCTACGTGCGGTACGCTATGGTGCCCGCAGCTAGCTATTGGAACCTAGTTCGTACAAGCTATGCTGCGCAAACTGTGCGGTGAAAACGATGCGGTGCAACACATGCTTTGCAAGGTACGCGGCGCCGTCAATGTGGGACTATGCATCTGGTGCGAGCTATGTGGTGCTAGCTATGGTGTTTAATGCAGCTAGTGTAACTTATGATCTGTAAGTTATGGGGTGCAAGCTGTAAGGCGCGAGCTCTGTGGTGTAAGAAGCTATGTGCTGCTGTCAGTGTGGTGCGAGCGATACTGTCTATAACAAGTGGGCGCCCACATGGCGCTCACAGGCGAACCCACGGCCGACCCACCGCAAGCGGGGCGCGCACGAGGCGCCCACTAGGGGGCGCCCACGGTCGCCCACCAAGCCAAACCCCGTTCGACCCTGTCAATCCCCTCGGACACAAGAGAACCTAGTGAGAGAACTGTTTGGGGAAAGTGGCATCAGCAGGAACTCACTTGGGTCGGCGAGGATGTCCTGGGTCGGCGCTGAGCCCCCCCCCAGGCGCCACCAAGATGCGCCCAGCAACGACTCAAGAAATCCGCGCGGACCTCCGACAATGGCTATTAACAGGGGATATGTCGACCCCAATCCCAGGCTTCGTGGAGTTTTCGAGTGGGCCAAAAAAATTGGGGCCCAACCCTGGGATGTACGAGGGGGGGCGTCCATCCTCAATAGGGGTGCGTCCGAATAGCCCCCTGGGGGTGTATCCCAAGGTTTCCCTCCTTTCTGAGCCGCTCCATTTTTCGTCGAAAAGTCGGGGGTCGGGATAGAAACGTCGCCTGCGAGCTATGATTATTCAAGGTTTGGTTCTTCGAAGTGGACAGAAAGAGAAGGCAACACCCTCGATCCCTCGAAGGCGAAGCCCCGCCTGGAGCGTCCTGGGCAGAGGGGGGGAACCAGGTCGGCAGGGGGGGTAAGGCTTCAGGTTGCGCACGCGCAGCTTCCCCTGGTAGTCCAAGCTGGCCACAACAAAACCCCCGAGCAAACCGGAGAGGCCTCAGACCCCCCACGATTGTGTGCGGAGCGCACCGTGAGCGCCGCCAGAAGCGGCGCCAGGGTGTTGAGACCGCCGCGGGCTACTCGGGGGGCCTGTTGAGGCCAGCCGCGGGCTACTCGGGGGGCCTGTTGAGGCCAGCCAAGACTACGTTGCGGGCTGTCTGCGTGCAACCATTACCAGGCAGGAGGGAGCAAGGACTTGGAAGCAGCCAGGGGGTTTACGCTGGATGATGGGTCCTGAAAAATCGGTCAAGAGGGGTGGCGAGAACAAATTCCTTCAAACTCGGCACCCTGACCCCTCACAGGGTACAAGCGTAATTACCGGTTTTCCGAGCTGCGTCCAGCCGTGGCGAGGGGAGGGGGCCCGAAGGCCAACTACCGTTGTCCCAACTCGCCCTCCTCTAGGAACGAGTGCGGCTGGAGGGACTACTCCCACGACCTCTCCCCAGCGAAGTGCGCTCGGGCCATAATCTCGAAGCGAATCAAGCCGTGGCGACGAGGCGCAAACGAGGCAAAAGTAACGCTACCGGCACCTGTTCTCCGGGCATCTTCGTCTCTATCAGAAAGGTGTGCTGACCGAAACCGTGACCGACAATCTGCCTGAGTGTGACCAACACCAGCGCCCGAATGTATACGGCCGTGCCAATGTGTGACCAACTTTCCTGGTTCGAAATCAAAAACGATGTTCGAGATCGGTCACACATTCGGTCACGCAATTGTGCTCCGTCGCAATTCCGGGCACGTTTCCGGTCACCGATTGGGTTCGGTCACATACCTTTTCGGCTGATGTGGGCTGGGCGCCATGATTTTCCTCCTCTGGGGGGCAGGATCCTCCGGCTGCTCGCGGCAGAGGTCGATCAGCCCGCTGGTGAGCGTGGGCACCACGAGGCCGGTGAGGTACTGGCGCAGCGGCTCCGAATGCCTCTCGAGCCGCTGGTGCTCCTCGCGCCGGAGCGCCTCCAACTTCTCCTCCTTAGAGGAATAGGAAGCGGCATCCCTGGGGCCTACGAAAGCAATTCACAAAAGCTTTTGGTCGTCCCCATCGTGCCCAATAGCGCGAACGATCCCGCGGAAAGCAAGCAGAATGCATCTCACTCACATGGCGCTATTGGGCGCTCTTGGTCGCTGTTGGGCGCTATTTGAACGCTGTTCGACGCTACTGGGCGTTCTTGCGCGCGATTTGGGACTGCTGATCGCAATTTGGCGCTGTTCGTCGCTATACAGAGTTCCGTGATCGACGATCTAAGGATAACTGGACCCCTGACGTATCGAAGCGTTGCTTGCCGTTGCTCGGCAGTGCTTGGCGTTGCTTGGCATTGCATGGCATTGCTTGGCATGGCTTGCCATTTCTTGCTATTGCTTGGCATTGCACTGGCGACCTCGGGTGAAAACCCCAACAACCAGGGGAAACGCTGGGGTGGAAAGGTCCTGCACCCACTGGCTTCTCACGAAGAAATCGAACATCCGCGCGAACCTCCTACAGTTGATGTGTTCTCCCAAATCCAACATGAGCTCTTTTCTCTGGGCAACCCAGGAACCCACACGAAACGGCAGTATCCTCCTCACCAACACCACCATCCTCCGCCTCCTCCTCCTCCTCCTCGTCCTCCTTCTCCTCCTCTTCCTCATCCTCATCATCACCAAGATCAGCCTCATCATCGTCATCCTCATCTCGCACACTCACAGAATCTCGCCCTTTCGCTCACACACAGACGCACGCACGCACTGACGCTCACATCCTCAAGCACCCACACACACACACTCCTCCACACTCACGCACCCACATACTCACACATACATACATTACTATGGACGAACTTTCGAATGGAGTCCTCGTCTGTAACTGCATGGCGGGATAACGTTTCAGGCACCCCTCCCCCTAATGCCCGCGCTTCATGCTACGAATCCGAGGCGGCCATACAAGAACCCGTAACTGCCGTCACGCTTGTGCTCATGAGGCTTGAGTCGCGGGGAAGTCTCGAGACAGAGCCTCGTCAATGAGTGTATTGCGAGGAAGTCTCTGGCGATAGGGCCGGCGTTTCATGTTACGAGCCCGAGGCGGCCATCCAAAAACCTATAGCCGTCGCCACCATTGGGCTCCAGAGGCTTGAGTCGCGAGGAAGTCTCACGCTGGAGCCTGGTTCTTGAGCGAACCGCGAGGGCGTCTCAGGCGGGAACCCCGTCCCTATGCCCCCCCCGCATAATGTTATCTCCCCATGCGGCCATCCGAAAAGCTCACCTCTGGGCTGGGGAGTCTCAAGCGGGAGCCTCATTTGTGAGTTGATCGAAATTCGAAGCGGGAGCCCCGTCTCCTATAGTGCCCTCACTTCATGTTCTTAATCCAAGGTGGCCAGGTGGCATCACTTTTGGGCCCCTTACGATTGAAACTTGAGGACGTCTCGATCGTGAGTCTAGCCTAAAGCAAAACATACCCCCCCATTGGGGCCCACCCTTCATGTTAGTACTCCGAGCGGGCCATCCAATTCCTGCATCTTGCAACCGTCGTCACTTTTGGGCCCCTGAGGACTGAATCGTGAGAAATGTCGAGCGCAAGCCTCGTGTGCGAGAATCGTGAAGAATGTTCGAGAAGGAGCCCCTCCGCATGGGGGCCGCACATTATGTTCGCAATCCGACGGGGTCATCCAAATCCCGTAGCTGTCGTCCCATTCGGGGCTTCTGAGGACTGAATTAAGAGGAATTCTTGAACGGGAGCCTCACCTGAGAGCGAATCGAGAGGAAGTCTCAGGCGGGAGCTCTTCCCTATGGAGCCCGCTCTTTATGTTAGTATCCCGAGCGGGCCATTCAAATCCCGTTGCTGTTGTTACTGATAGACTCCTGATGCCTGCGTCAGGGAGAAGTCTCCAGCGGGTGCCTCGTCAGTGAGCGAATCGCGAGGAAGTCTCATGCGGGCGCCGCGTCTCGAGCAGGAACCCTCAGAGCGCCCAGGAGGCCCCAGGAAGCCACAGGAAGCCACAGGAGGCCCTCGAGAAGGCCACAAGAATCCCCAGGAGGCCCCAGGAAGCCACAGGAAGCTTCAGGAGGCCCGGGGGGTCTCCAGGAAGCCGCAGGAGGCACCAAGAAACCCCAGGAGGCCCTGGAGCCACCGGGAAGTCTCAGGAGGCACCAGGAATTTCCAATGAGGCCACAAAAGGCCTGCAGGAGGTCCCAAAGACTCAGAATGCCCCTGGCGACACCAGAAGGCGACAGGGGGTCTCCAGAAGGGTACACGAGGCAACAGGGAGGCCCAAGGACCCAGGATGAGGCAAGAGGCCCTAGGAGGAGAAGGAGGAGCAGGAGGAGAAGGGGGAGGAGGAGCATGAGGAAGAGGAGGAGGAGGAGGAGGAGGAGGAGGAGGAGGACGAGGAGGAGGAGGAGGAGGACGACGAGGAGGAAGAGGGGGAAGAAGAGAAGGAGGAGGGGGGGGAGGAGGAGGAGGAGGAGGAGGAGGAGGAGGAGGAGGAGGAGGAGGAGGAGGAGGAGGAGAAGGAGGAAGGAGGAGAGGAGGAGGAGGAGGAGGAGGAGGAGGAGGAGGAGGGAGGAGGAGGAGGAGGAGGAGGAGGAGGAGGAGGAGGAGAGGAGGAGGAGAAGGAGGAGGAGGAGAGAGAGGAGGAGGAGGAGGGAGGAGGAGGAGGAGGAGGAGGAGGAGGAGGAGGAAGGGGAACGGGAAGAGGCCAGAGGAGGTTCACTAGCCATCGAGGGGGGCCCACGGAGGGAGAGAAAATCCCAACGGGGGGGGGGGGGGGGGGGGGCGAATCTCAGGATGAACATCGTTGCTCCCTGCCATGGGTGACGAGCCCTGCCAGTTCTCGCGGCAAAGCGCCCCCCTTCCAAACATACCCACCCTTCGGCCAAATATTACTCGGTCGAACGTGTTGACCGCCTATCTTGGGCTTCGGCCCCTTCGAGAGGAGCCCTCCTGCCGGGGACCCTGCCCCCTCGCGACTGGAGAAGCCGAGAGGCGTCAGGAGAAGAGAAGACCAGATGCTGACTGGGGAGGCTGGGTCACAACCCCTGGGCCCTCCCCGTTGCCACTCCGACGTGCCTCGACAAAAACAGGCACGGGTGGCCTGAAGGGGTCTCGCACTGCACCATCTCATCAAGGGAATTGGGATTGGGCCATGATGGGCCCGCCGCTTCTTGCGCACTGCGTGCGCCGAGCCGCCTTTGAGATCTGTGGGCCCCCCTGCGAATCCCCGAGAGGCCGCCGATGGGGCCCCTCTGCATCGGTGCGGCTGCGTCCTGCCAGCGCTCTGGGCAGAAAGTCCTCTTCCAGGATAATACGCAGCCGTAGGCTTTCCGAGACCCTGAGCCTCCAAGGGCCTCCGCTCCACGCACTTTCCTGGGTCGGGGAAAATCCTACGGGCAAGCCTTCCCAGAAGAATGCGCGATGCGGAGGAGGAACAGGAGGAGGCAGCAGGAGGCAGCAGGAGGCATCAAGAGGCATCAAGAGGAGGCCAGCGTACCAAGGGGGGGTCCCACCTCCACGCCTACGGCTGGGGCGGCAGCAACGTGGGGGGCAGTGCCTCTATCGCCGCGGACGCCCTGACCAGGCGGAGCTCCCGCAAGGAAGTGCGGGCGGCGTCGAGATTGGTCTGAGGTAGGAGACGGACCTGGGGCGCAAGATGACGGATGACATGATAACTATGGGAGGCCAAGAAAACTTCCTCGATAACACAGACGTTACAACAGCTAGGGACCCCGAGGCGGCCCAGGGGGTCAGAGGAGAGAGGACGACATCGGAGGACAAGAGAGATGGACCAAACTAACTGGGACCGAACAAATAGTGCCTGAGATGATCCCATTAACTGTCGCAGCGAAGAATGCAGCCTAGCTTCCCACGGGGGCGAATGATGCGGTGGCTAGTGAGACAGGAGGCATCTAGAGTATCTAGAGGAGGATGAGGAGGAGGAGGAGGAGGAGGAGGAGGAGGAGGACTCCAGGAGGAGGAGGAGGAGGAGGAGGAGGAGGAGGAGGAGGAGAGGAGGAGGGAGCAGGGGAGGAGGAGGAGGCAGCAGGAAGGAGGAGGAGGAGGAGGAGGAGGAGAGGAGGAGGAGGAGGAGGAGAGGAGGAGCATTATGCAGAAGGAGGCATGGGGGGGAGGAGCAGGTGAAGGAGGAGGAGGAGGAGGATTAGGAGGAGGAGGAGGAGAATACAGGAAGAGCCACATGAGGCAGGAGGACAAGATGAGGCACGAGGAGGCGGAGTAGGCAGGAGGAGAACGAGGAGGCAGGCGGCAGAAGGGGGTTGGAGGCGACTCCCGGCAAGCTAAAGTGTTCTCCCGTCGGAGTAATCGTGCATCTTTGTGTTCCTCCGGCTCCTGCTCCTTGCGCTGGAGGCGCAGCGCCTCCGCCTCCTGCTGCCTGGCCGCCTCGTCCTCCGCGGACGAGCCGGTTCCGGGTGCCTCCTCCGCCTGCTCCGACTGGCTGGCCTCCACGGGCTGGCGGAAGTTGTAGATGGTCCGCTTCGCCCGCACGTGCTCGACGACGCGCCGCGCCATCTCCTCCAGCTCCGTATCGTCGGCATTCAGCAGCAGAGGCTCTGCACCGAGCTTTCCTCCCGCACCCCACCCACTCCTCTTCGGGCATAGCCGATGTAGTACAGATGACAGTGCTGAGCCTCTTCTTTGGATTGATACTGATCCACTGCCTCGGGCCCATCCCCCTGCAGGAAACACCCGCCCCTCCCACCTCCCTCCTCCCGAAGCCAAGGGCGTCCAGAGTGACAGTAAGACTGAGAACGGGCTCAAAAACCAAGAGGCCGCAGGCAGCCCAGAACGGCGCAGCGGCGCCACGACAAACGGAACCGAACGGACCGAACGCAGCCGGCTGCGAAGAAGTCGAGCCGACTGAAGCGCTGGCCATCGCTCGGACGTCCATTCTCTGTGTTTTTTTTCGGTGGATGATCCAGGATGCTCCTTCACACTCCCCGCCGAGAAAAAGTGCACACGTCCGAGCGATACCGGGAGCGTGGACACCCTTCAAGCCCCTCCTGCGATGGCGCCGGCGAGCCCCTCTCCAGGCGCCGCCCCAGGCGGGTTCTCCTCTGGAGGCTGAGATAAGGGGGGGCCAGAGCGCACGGGGTAGGCAGGTCGCGCCGCACCCCCAGTGCGTCGGGCTACGGATCGAGACGCATCGCCGATGCTGCGTGATGCCCCGCCCCCACGCCCAGAGATCGCTGCACTGTTTTTTTTGAGCACGGGGCCTCTGGAGGTCCCGCCCCTTTCCCCGGGGCCGGCTCGACGGTCTCGGGGTCCAGCGAGGGCCTCCGGAGGCCGAGCACGGCGAAGAACATGCGCATCGGATCTGTGACATGCGGTGGAGGTCTGGGCCCGCGCTTGCGCCCTTTGGGCGGCCCAGGTCCTTGCTCCACCTCTCGAGGAAGGTTCAACTGCATAAACATACGCGAAGGTCCGCGTGGATCTCGTGGATCGGCGCTGGACCCCCTCTTCGAAGTCAGGAAGGATGCGATGAGGAGACGGAGGACGGAGAGCGACGCCTGGAAGCATCTTTCGGCCCACTGGACTCGCAGGCAAGCCGCGCGGATGCCTTGGAGCTGTGCTGGCCCCCCTCCCTAGTGCGCAAGGCACGCCCTGGGCGGCGCCGGAGGCGCCGCCTGGGGTTTTCAAATCGCCGATCCAAGAATTCCGCACGGAGCCCCGACAGTTCATGATCATGCAGTCTTTTCTTCGTAGAACATCTCCAGCCCCGAACTTACCCCTATCACTAGGATTGGCAAGCCTAAGGCGATGAAAACCTTAGGGATGCGCCCTCAGCTTAGCCGAGGGAATCCTCAAGGCCGGAACCGAGGCAGGGTAATGCAAAACAGGGGGATGGGGATCTGTTCCAGGCTGGCAGCGCACCTCTCGATCCTCTTCCTGGCGAGGCCCTCGGAGGTCACGACGCTGCCCCTGCCCTTGAGCCGAGAGGCGCAGCTCTCCTCCGAGCCCGACAAGACCACGACGGCGTCCTGCACCGCCGACGCGCGCAGCAGGATCGTGGGGGGCTGCTCCTCTGCGGGCTGCGGCGCGGCATCGCCCTGCGGCCGCGAGGGGCGCCGAAGGGGGGGGAGGAGGCTGCCTCGGACGGGCGCGGGGGGGGGGGCACTCCTTGCAGTGGGTGCATACGTCGAGAAGCCTCGCCAGGAGAAGTCAGGGGAGTCACTGTCTGGTCGACACCGGACCTCGCGAGGTGACCCCGGACCTCCCACGGGTGTCTGGGGACGTCGGGGAATAAGGCGTTTCAGTGGGAAGCCCGCCGGCAGGCCAAGGGGGGCTGGATCGGGGGGGAGGACATACACTCGACCAGGATAGAAAGGATGCTCGGCAAGGATGCAAGGGCCTTGGAACGCCATGTTGACGTTTTCCGTGCGGAGCGCAGCAGAATGCCGAGGGATGCCGAAGGGGCAAGGATGCAAGGGTAGCCTTGGAAAATTGCCCTATCCTTGCTATCATATGGTTCGCTGTATTCTACCCGGGTGCAGCGCACCGCCCGAGAACGCGAGGCGGGATCCCCTGGGAGCTCCAGGCCCCCGGGGAGGCCCGGCGGCCGCGGCATGCAGTCGTCACTCGTCGACGCGAGGGGGCCTGGCGGCCGCGGCGTGCAGGGCACGTGAGACGCGTCAGGCGCTTGTATTTTCTCTGCGCCTAACCACCTGGACATGTCGGGTGCGGGGCGCGCGAAAGGGAGAGAAAAACCTCACACCTCAGAGGTCCCCGCCGTCTTTTCTCGGGTCGGGGCTGGACCAACCCTTCCCTGGCGCGCGGAAGGCGCCAGGGGCGGATGGGGGGCCCAGCGCCGACCCGAGAAATCCCCGCGGACAGCCAGACATCTGTGCCAGTTTCCTTGTAACAGCTGGCAGGCAGGATGAACACGATCACATGCAGAGGTGAGGTGCCAGAAACAGTCCAAGGACAAAACGGAACCAACACGGAGCGAAACAGGTGACACACGCGGAGTGGGCAGCGTGGTTGCCCAGGGGAAGCTCAAGGTGAAATCGGCGATGCGTGGCCGAAAGATCGGCGGCATGCCCTGGACAACGAGGCCGCGTGGCCCTGGGGCAGGATGAGGCACCCGGCCCTGACCTACCGTGGCCAAACCCCTTCCCATCCCCGCCCCCCTCCCATGAAACTCTGGGATCCAACTGTTTCGTGCGTGGCCTGCACCTGGTCTTTATTGAAATTGCTCGCGGCGATAATTGTCAGCTGTCGTCGCTCTACGGTCGGGGGCTTGTGCCTAGCGTTTCGCGGCGGCGGCCCCGGCGACACGCTGTGCCCTGCGAGAGGATAGCGTGTCGCTGCGCTCCGCGGGACGGGAAGCTGGGGAAGCCTCGGGACGTTGACGCTCGGGGACCAGGCTTGGTCAGCATGTCGGGCGGAAGCATGGTGGGCCAGAGCTGGCGGAGAGACGCGCTGACCAAACAATACTGCTTCCTGTTCAGGTCCTCTGCTGTCTTGCCTTCTCGGGCCTCTCTGGGGAAACCGAATCATTGTAGCACCTTCGACTGCCTCAGTCGATTGAGCGGTCAGGGGTCGATGCCCACCTCTGGCCCAGGCGATGACCAGCGATGAATGGAGGATCAAGCGCAAGATCTGTCAACATCGAGTCGGGAAGCTTGATCTGATCGGAACTTGCGTCGGATAGGACAGCATCGGCACGGAGTCGGAATCGAAATCGGACAGGCTGCGCCAATATGCGCAACAACATCTCGGAAACCTCAGGTCGTAGCGGATCGCTGGAAAACGACATCGAACCGCAGCGAGCTGGTCCAAACCGATGTGCATAGGGGGTTACAAGTGGAGGACAAGGTGAAGCATCTCAGGCCGACCCAAGCCTAGAAAGGACCCTAAGTGGCTTAGTGGGGGTCAAGATCCGGGCGAAGTGGGCGGAGCCCACTTAGCGGAGTCATCTGCACCCACTGAGCCATGTAAGGCACTTGCAGCCAAATATACGTCAACATGGGCCCCACCGATAGCCAAGTGTACGGCAACATAGCCAACTGTACGTCAACATACATACATACATCCATCCATGCATGCATACTTACATGCACACATACATTTATACGTACATAAACATATACATACATACATACATACATACATACATACATACATACATACATACATACATACGCACGTACGTACGTACGTACATACATACATACATACATACATGCATACATACAAACATACATACATACACACATACATACATACATACATACATACATGCATACACACATACATACATGCATACATCCATGCATGCATGCATGCATGCATGCATGCATACAGACAGACAGACAGACAGACAGACAGACAGACAGACAGACATACACACATACATGCATGCATGCGTGCATACATACATACATACATACATACAGACACATACATACATGCATGCATACATGCATGCATGCATGCATGCATACATACATACATACATACATACATACATACATACATACATACATGCATACATACATACATACATACATACATATATACATACATACATACATACATACATACATACATACAGGCATACAGGCATACAATCATACATATATATATATATATATCTATATATATATATGTATCCCCGTCAACGTCCGCTGAGAACCCCCATATGGCCGCGTCCATTTGTAGCGTTGCCAACTTGCGGCAATCAATCGCCCGTGCTGGTGGGCATGTCGCGCCACCCCTCTCAGGAGTCATCGGGGAGAGCCCTCGGGAGCCCAACGGAGCTAGTATGACTCCGTGTTGGCCCCGTGACCCAACGGGGCTATGGTACCCTTTGTTGGCCATGACCACCACTCCAGTACAGAGCGCCCTTGTGACGCACACAACGATGACGGCGGCACATCCAGATAACTAATCGATGACATAAACATATCATCTCGGGGGTCCGCCCGGATGTCTTGGATCGGCGCTAGACCCTCCTCCGTGGCGCGCGGAGTGCGCCAGGGGCGGCGCTAGAGCTGCCGCCAAGGGGCCCGAACGCCGACCCGAGGAATCCGCACGAACCGTCGAGAGGTTATTGTTATGCCGGTTTCCTTCTTCGAACATCCCCTTAACAGATGCTGCGACCATCCAAGCTGAGCCAACCGTATTACTTCAGCCACCTTCCGCAGAGGAGGAGCCATCAACTCCGTCGACCCTCGAAGGCGAGGCCGGCTCTTGTATGCCCCACATTCCCCTTGGCAAACCCTACGGCGATCCCAAAGCCGAGCCAATACCCTCTCCCGGTCGGCGCCCCCGATGCTGCTCCTCCACGGGCGGCGCCTCCACGGCCGGCGGCGGTGGCGCCTCGTCGCAGAAGAAGGCCAGCAGGTCATCGGCCTGCTGCGGGTAGCCCGCCAGCACGTACCTCGGAGGGGGGGCCAGCAGCGCGCTCCATCTCTCTCTCTCTCTCTCTCTCGGCCTGAAGGTCAGTCGAACGCGGCCATCCCCCCCACTCAGGGGCGTTTGGCCCCGAAGGAGGTTGATCAAAGTAGAGAGCCGGGCGACTCCAGGGGCGGTCGCCCCTGGAGGTGTCGGCTGTTGGAGAAGTGTGCCAGAAGGGCTGACAGCACTAGACTCTAGATCGTGGAGAAGAAAAAGGATCATGACATCGAGGAGGGAGAAGGAGGGAATGCGGTGGCGGTGCGGCGGCTAGCGATTTGAGTGAGTGGAGGGTTGAAAGCAGGGTTGTCTGGCATGAGCGGCATGAGTGCAGCGCAGGCGCATTCACCAAAGTGAAGAAGGGCCCCAGTCCAACACGAGGAACCTCCCCCGCCGAGGCATGCGATGAGTTCCAACTGGGGGGGACTGGGGCCTATCCAGCAGGGGTGCCTGGTGGGGAGGCGGAAGTTTGCGCCATCCGCGGTGGCGGCCGCGGTGGTTGTCTCGCCGCCCTCCGCCGCGTTGGTCGCTGACCGTGGCCGAGGAGGCCCCCTGTTGCCACCCGCCCAACATAGTAGAGTTCCCCTCCTCATGAAGACTCGCGGACTGAAGCTGCTGGAATGCGTTGGAGAAGGGTGCCCTAAGTGTGGCGGAGCGGGACGTGCTGAGGTAGCGGCTGGCGCGGGCAGCGGGAACTGCAGGCGAAGCTGCCCTGGCCAACGCCAGGGTGGCGGTCTGCACTGGGCTACCACTGTAGCGCGCGTGTGACAAGCGATGGGCGGCAGAGACTGAGTGGGCAGTGGCTAGAGCCGCGGCCGCCCTGGCCCTTGCCAGGACGGCCGTCGGCGTGCCTCCACTGTTTCCCCTACCCAATGGATATCATACCGCCTCTCCGCCACAAGAGTGGGCAGGTGAAGGTTAGTGGGGTGAGCAGTGGGGGGGGCCTGCTGACGAGAAGGTGGCGCCTGGAGGGAGCGAAGGTTGGTAGAGGTTCTCTCACAGTGGCAGCTACCATCGCATACGTGGGTGAGGAAGCCACTACAATGGACCCACTGCGTATCATAGTGTGCCGATGGGGGTCGGTGCCGCGATGCAGAACGTGATTTGGACGCCGTCGCATGTGCAGGTGATGGTGGTGAGAGTGCTGCCGTCGCCAGGAAGTGGAGATTCGGAGTGTGACGAATGCCCAGCTGTTGCTGTTGCTGTAAGAACACTGAGTGCGGCGGTGTGGTACAAGAAGAGTGCCGTGGTCGGAGATGGGAAAAGAGCAGCTGGTGGCGTCCATCTTCGTCGTGTGAGAGCTCGATCGTCTGCTGTCGTTGGAGAGAATTGGTGAGCTGCGTTGTTGGGAATGACGCACTGACGGGCAACCGGTAGGCAGGTCCCAGCTTTGCATGAGAGTGGCGTGCGCCTCGTCTGCCTATCTTGTGAGAGACTGGGGGCGAGTGCCCGACTTCGCGGAGTGGGTGGATGGGCGAAATGGGGTGGGCCAGTGTGGACCAGGCCAGGCGTGGGCCATCCCCTTTGTCGGCAGTGTCCACGTCCTCGCCTGGCTGGATGTACAGCAGGCTTGCGCGGATGATGCTGCCTGCAATTCTGGCGTCGTGTGTTTTTCTTGGCGTAGTCCATGCGTCGCAGACAGGGTCGCCGATGTCCGTGGCCGCTTGGATGTCGGAGAAAACGGCGGGGCGCCTGGAATCGAAAATGGCATCCTAGTTGTTGATATTGCTGCCGTCGGTGGTTATGATGCGGGTTCGCGGTGGGCGCAACGGAACGATGCCTTCCAGTGGCGATGTCGGGAAGGTGCACTGCGCCGGTAGACTGTCGCCCTGAACTCCAGTGGTTAGGGCCTCCTTGATGGCCTCCACCATTTCCAAGTTGTCGAGGCTCTGTTGTGCTGGAGCCGCTGCTTGTCGTGCGTGGAAGTATTCTAGGGTCGTCCTGAGTACGTCTTTCGCGCCAGGCTTTCCATTTCATCCAAGTGGTCTCTTTTTTCGGGTATCTCGTGTTGGTGAGCTGTTTCTCTACTCTGTCGCGCCCATCCCAGTTCATTGCGGTGCAAGTTGTAGGTGGCCGTCTGCATGGGCCGCATGCTGTTGAGCTTGATCCTGATAGCTGTCCATGTCCAAGGGTGCCCGCTGGATATGCTGCTCTTGGTGTTCAGTGTGCTCAGCGTCGCTAGGTCGTACGATCCTTTCGATGTCGGCGACTCTCTGTTGGACCCCCTCCTGGATGCTCTGGATAATGGCCTCCATGCGCTTCTCCTGGTCCTGCACCTCGAGGTGGGCGTTGCGGAGCAGCTGGTCGGGGACCCTTCGGTGGTTGCGCAGTTGGTTCTGATCGCTGAAATCGTTGGTCCCCTGTGCTTCGATAGTTGGAATGTGTAGCTTTGATCCCCGCATCGTCTTGTAGTACATCTCCCTTTCCTATGGCTGTCTCTTCCATCTTCCATGGGTTGTAGCTTGTGCTGATGGTTCTTGTGGTCGTTGCCGTATTCAGGGGGTCGTTGACGATGCGCCTGCTTCAGCTCATTCTGAATGTCGGCGTCGTCCTTGTCTCCATGGAGGCCGTCCTCCCTGCTGCGGCTGTTGTTCCTCACACTGTTTTTGTCTGAATGTGCTCGTGGTAGCCTGCCGTCTTCTCGCCTGTGATCGTGGCATTCGCCAGCTCTCCCTTTAGCTTGTTCTGGTAAGGCTGCGCTTGCTTTACTGCATATTGTTGCTTCGTTATTTCAACCTGTGCGGTCTCTTCAACTGCTCGAAAGTGTCGCTGTAGCTCCAGTAGTTCCGTCGCGGAATTCGTCCTCGTCTTGCCGTTCTCCTTGCTACTGCGGTAGAGGCTGTCGAACTGTTCCTTGGCTTCGTTGCTGTTGTCTTTACGTCTTGAGCCGGGCGTGGGATATTCACCTTGAGGGCATTGAATAGCGTTCCAATGTGTAGGCCACGCCCCTCCTCCTACTCCTCCTCCTCCTCGTTGACGCATTTCCTCCGCCCCTCCTCTGGCGGTTCCCTGCTCCTCCTCCTTCTCCTCCTCCTCCTCCTCCTCCTCCTCCTCCTCCTCCTCCTCCTCCTCCCCCTCCCCCTCTCCCTCACCCTCGTTCACTACCCCTCCTCCCCGCCTTCTCGCTTCTCCTCCTCCGTCCTTCCCTGTTGCCCCCTCTTTAGTCGGCGGCATCCCCCCATCTTTGGCCCCGTTGTGGAGCCCTTGCGCGGACCCCCGATCCGATCCCATCCGATCATCCGCCTTCCTCCTCCTCCGCCTCCTTCCTCCTCCTCCTCCTTCCTCCTGATCACGCCTCTTCCTGCCCTCCTCCCTCTCCTCCTCGCAGGAAAGGGCGGGCTCGGGAGACAGCATGGCCAGGAGGATGGGACAGAGTGCGTCCACTAGCGCTCGCACCCAGAAGGGGGAAGAAACAAGAACCACCGCCACCGAGAAACCGTGGGGGGTAGGGGGGGGGGCAGGACCCCTTAGGAAGCAACGCCTGAGAGATCTTGCCACATGACGGGCGATTAGCTCAGCGCGAGTGTGCTGGACTGGCATGGGCCAATTTTCAGAGATACACCAGCGCCGATGCTGAACGTAGCCCCCTAGGAGCCACCCGGCACCAGACGATGCTCAGGCGTGCCACCGCCCAGGGGAGGGGCGAGCCGTCCCCCCCCCCCCGTCCCCTCGACGCGGCCTCGGTGGCGGTGGTCTCTGTTCCCCCTGACTGCCCCCGCCAAATAAGCTCCTCATCGCCACCCCGCGTAGACCACCGCCGCGCGAGGGCGCTCCGACCGCGCCGCGTGTCGAGGCACTTCGCGGCGCGCCAACAAGGCGAGGTTGGCCCCAGTCGGGGGAAGGGGGTCCCCCACTCCCCACGCCTCTTATTTCACGGCGCGCACAAGGGGGCATGGGGGAGCGGGGGGGGGGCTTCTTAGAAGGAGGCTGCCTCTTAGAAGGCGCCAGCCTTACGCCTATGCCCGCGCCTTCTGAGGAGCAGGGGTGTTTCTAAGAAGCCTTCCCCCAACCCCCCTCTGCACGTGGCCGGCTTACGAACCGCTGCGTGCGTCCAAACAGACCGTGCATCAGATGAGCGACGCACAGAAGCGGCGCTTACGCAAGATGTCATCACAACCATGCGCCGCGGCTTACCCGGGCCGCCACCGCGGCACGCCACATTTGAAACGAAGGCGTTTACGCGCGACCTTCGCCAGCAACCGCGCCAGCGCCCGTGGAGACAAACCACGTTTCTTTCGTCGTCGCTCAGGATGGGCTCGTGAGATCGAGGAGTGGAGATCTGCCAGGACGGACTCGAGACGGTGCCTGGCTCTCGAGAGTGGGCGGATGGAGCACCGCCCCCACCGTACCACAGTGAACGCTGAATGGGGAATGAAGGGGTTGTTCTGGCCACGGCTAGCCTCGGCTACGAAGTGGTCCCCGACTCAGATTTACGGAGCGGGCCGAAAAACGACGCCCTTTGAGCGTCTGGATTGTACCTCGTGCTCGCCACGCACGCGTGCACACACGCACACACACACACACACACACGCACACATACATACGCACACACAAACAAACACATACACACACGCACACACCCACACACACACACACACACGCACGCACATACACGCACGCACGCACACATACGCCCACACACTCTCTCTCCCTCTCACACACACACGCACACCACTTTTTACAGCCAAGACGAGAGCCCCGCGGCAGAGAATGGTAGCGCCGGCAACGAATTACTAATTACCCTGGCGGCCCGGGCGCTCCGCCAGGCGCGCCGCGAGCGCCGCGCGCCAAACCACCTCGCCACCGCCAGTGCGCGCTGCCGGCACCAGCAGCAGGCCGCCTGCTGGTCGCATAAGCCGGAACAAGCCGTCCAGGCAGCAACCCCTGCGACCCCTCCCACAGTATAAGTGCTGTCGCGATGCCGCTTTGCATCGTGCATCGGCATGGAGGCGCCAGCGCCTAGGCCGCGGAAGAGCCTGGCCGTGCGGGAAGGGCGGCGGCGCATCATTAGGCACCGCCCGCTGCCGCGCTGGCAGGGCGCACGCCACTCTGCGCCAGGGTGCGCTGCACTGCCAGCAGCCGCGAGGGCTGGACGAAGAGGGAGATTAGGGGCGCCGGCGATCCCCCCGATCGGTGGAGCGCGAGCGAGATGCGTCGTCGACGCCGTCATCCGATCCCCTCCTGGATGGGGAGCGACGCCTGCCGGCCCGCGCGCCCAGTGCAGCCGCGCGCCGTCTGCCGCCTGGGGCCGCGGCCGCCCTCGCCTCGCGGCGCGGCGGTGGGGCATCCGCATCTCCAGCGCCAGCCACTGAGCCGCCCATCCTGGCGTCCGCCGGCGCGCCTCCGGGCTGCCTGGCACCGCCGCCCTCCGCACCAGCGGCAGGCCCATCGGCCCAGCATGCGCAGCGCCACCTGGATCGGGGAGGCGTAAGACTCGGGTACGGGGGACTCGGGTTGGCCCGACGGGGCCATCATAAAAATGACGAGGCCCAATCTGAAATTAGACGCGAGCTCCCGCTGCAGACGTCCCACGAAAACTGGACCGTCAAAATCCAGGACGCGCTCGTCAAAAAAAACGTCGGCAACCCGAGTTCCGGCTTACTCGAGTCTTGCGTTTCCCCGACTGGAGCGTGTGTAAACACGCCGCGAAGCTGCTTCAGCAGGCCGGCCACGGCGGCCTGCGCTGCGAGGAACGCAGCCGCCGCGATCTCTGCGAATGCTGCTGTGAGCCCTCCTGCGGCGGTGGCTCCAGGCCCCACCACCCAAGCGGCGGCGCCAGCGGCAGCCTCGGCTTGCACTGTCGTCAGGGCCCGCTGCGCAGCCGCCGACTCGGCCTCGGCTTGCACCGCCTGCTCCAGCATGGAAGCCGCGGCCTGCGCCGCCTGCTCGGCGACCTCGCGAGCATCGTCGGCGGCCTGCCGCGCCCTCTGGGCCGACTCGGAACGGCAGCGGAGGGTATCCACGGCCGATTGCAGCTGGCGCTCGAGAGGCCGGGCTGCGCGTTCCGCCTCCACGAGCGCCGCCGCCTCCACCTCCCACTGTGCCACCTGTCCGGTGAAACTCCTGGAATACCCGCACCGCCGCCACGCGGCTGCGGAGGGCTGCAAGGCGCTCCCCCGTCTGTGACACGGCCGGCGTCGGGTCGTCGGCACCAGCCGCCGCTTCCGCCGCCGGCGCCGCTGGCGGGTCCGCGGCGCCCGGCGGAACGGCCGCTGCCTCGGCCGTCGACCGCGCCCACGAAGCCGGAGTCGGCCTCTGGCGAGCAGGGGCTTGGGAGGGGTCGCCGCGCGTCACCCTCACCGAGGGCTCGCCGACTGCCGCGCGCGGCCCACGGCGGCCGACAGCTGGCGCGTCAGGCCAAATTTTCGCTGAAGCCGCACGGGCAGCCCCACATGGGAGTCTGTGGCCCCGTCGGCGCCACCGTCGCCGCCGCCGCCATCAGCGCTGCTCCGCCGTTGCTGTCCGTCTCCCTTGGCTCCCGGCCAGAGGGCCGCTGCTGCCGCCCGCCATGCTCCTCGCCAGCAGGCTGCCCAGCAGCCGCCTTGACCAGCTCCTCGAGGGCCTTCTGGAGCGTGGTCTCCAATTGCTGCAGCCGGAAGCCACCCGACGGCTGCCGTCAGCCTGTCTGCTTCTGCCAGTGCCTGCCCAGCCGTCGCCCGCAGCACTCCCGCATACACACGCACTATCACCACACACACACACACTTACACGCACACGCACGCGCACACGCACACGCACACGGACACGCACACGGACACGCACACGGACACACACACACACACACACACACACACACACACACACACACACACACACACGCACGCACTTCTCATTTCCATTTCCGGTCAAGTCCAATTCCCGCCCCGATTTAGAACCGAGAAGTGCCGACTGGATGGGGGCGGTAGCGCCGTGCACACGAATCAGACATGGACACTCGATAGGAACGGGTCTACGCTTCAGGCTGGAAGGGCGAGGAGGGGCCACCTCCATCTGGCCCGCATGCCGTGGGTCAGGCCAGAGGGGATCACAAGGGCTGGTCTGGCCCCCGTTGCACCACACCGGCCCCGCGGGTAAGATGTATATCCATATCCACTGCATCTTAAGGAGTTTCGGGCTCCGTTCCCCAGACACACGAGGCGCAGTGGATATGGATGATCATCTGCCCCTTGACGCAAATGCTTCCGCAATATCCATCGCGCCTCGACCTTGAGGCGCCCCTTGCCAGAAAGTCCAGGACTCACTGGATATGTCTAGAAATCTTGCCCGTGTATTTTCTTCCCCAGGCGCCCGCGGAACGCCGCAGGCTTGGACTTGAGGCCCTCCTCCACGCACTGCGCTGCGAGCGGCGGCGGCAAAAGAAGGGAGCCCGCAAACTTTGGGTTCGCGGCGCCCTTCTCGATCTCGTCCATCGCCTGGGCGAGCTGTGTACCCAGCGGGGTCTGCTTCTTGCGCTGCTCCTCGACCAGTCGGTCGAAGCTGAAGGCGGGCACGCAATACTGTTTCGCGAGCCGCTGTGCCAACTCGTCCGTCCCGGTGCCCGGTGGCCCGGCTATGCAGATGTGAAGCGGGTCCAAGCAGCGCCAACTGCAAAACTCAGCGGCGACCTTGCCGATATTCGCGGCCAACCCCTGCTCGCACCACCACCGGAATGACGGATCTGGAGCAGCGCCGCCGTCTGATGTGGCCTCAGCACTGTCACAGGAGCTTTGGACACTCGGAGGCGGCTCCACGAGCGAGCTGGGCAGCATCCGCAAGTCCAGGGTGAGTATGTCTGCAAGCTCTGCCAAAATGGCCTCTGGGATACTCACGGACGGGACAGGTTCGGTCATGCCGAACTCTTCCGCCACTGCCTCGACGAGGGCGCGCTGCGTCATGTCACCCCGGTCGACGGCCAGGTGGTACTCCGAGCGAGGCCTCTGCTCCACCACCGTTCTCACGAGGCGTGCCGCGTCGCGAGCGTGCACCAGCGGGAGGTAATTTCCTCCCCCGCCGATGACTCGCAATGTGGGCAGATTCTGCCAGGCTGCCCTGAAGAGGCCCAAGAAGGCGTCCTCTCCGTTGCCGTAGGGGACCCCGCAACACACAACGTACGGATAGACGCCAGGCTTGTCCTTCAGCGCCAACACTTGTGTCTCAATGGCTTTCCACTCTTGGAACTTCGGCGCGGGTACGCGGCGCACGTAGTCCTCCGACACTAACGCCCGCGGCCGTAACACAGGCGCGGCGGGCGCTGCTGGCTCCGTGTCCACCGCGACCTCGACCGCTGGCTCCTCCACGGCAGGCGCTGGATCTGGCGCTGGAGGCGCAGCCTGTTAACGTAATACGATTCTGCAGACAAGTGAAGTGTGCGTGCGTGCGTGCGTGCGTGCGTGCGTGCGTGCGTGCGTGCGTGCGTGCGTGCGTGTGTGTGTGTGTGTGTGTGTGTGCGTGTGTGCGTGTGTGCGTGTGTGCGCGTGTGTGTGTGTGTGTGTGTGTGTGTGTGTGTGTGTGTGTGTGTGTGCAGGTGTGTTTTCGCGTCATCATTGCAGGCCTTCTGCTGTGCACGTGACGCATAACCAAGTGCAACGCTCAGGCGTTGTGTTGCTGTTGTCTGCATCTCCAGCTAGCAAGGGATACTACCAAAATGCACTGTGACTCACAACGTCGCAGGGAGGCCAGGCGCCGACCCGAGAAAACCGCGCGGAGCTCGGAAAGCATATGTTGATGCAGCTTGTTCCCCATCGGTTCTAGCATTCGTCGGTGGCGCCTGTGCCTGTGCCTTGCCCTTCGCCTTGGCGGTCGCCTTGGGCTCCACCTTCGGGAGCTCGGGCTCCACCTTCGGGGGCTCGGGCTCCGCGGGCACCTCGGCGGCAGGCGGCTCCGTCACCGGCGGCTCCTCTCTGGGGGCGACCGACACCTACGGTCGGGACCTTCTGCTTAGCGTGTCGCCGCGGCGGCCCCGGCGACACGCTATGCCCTGCGAGCGGATAGCGTGTCGCTCCGCTCCGCAGGGCGGGAGGCTCCCAACGGGTCGGGACATTGGCGCTCGGAAACGGGGACGTGGATAGCGTGTCGCACTGGAGCGTGGTGGGCCCGAACTGGCGCAAAGACACGCTATCCAAAAAATCCCGACCGTACTCTGCAGACTCTCACGGGGTGCGCTCTGACAAGAACTTCGAGGCGAATCCAGCGGTGGCGACGAGGGCCTCCAATGATGCCGCCGCAAAAAGGCGACAGAGGGAATCGGACAGCGATAGCAATATTGGTACATGTCGTTCATTTCTAATCGTGCTCATTTCTCATTGTGCTCGATTCTAGTAGTTCCTGGCCCGCCAATGGCCAGGAAGAGGCCCAGGATAGAACCATTAGAAATGAAAGGATCTTGCCCCCCCAACACAATCAAAGAACCCTCGAAGACTTCGGAATGAACTATCTGTAGCCCTTTTCTCTTCTGGAGCTCCTTGGGAACCTCCTCGTGCTCGACCTGGGTCCTGGCCCACACGCCGATCGACGACACCAGGACGAAGACGACGTCGTGCGCGAGCTGCGAGGCGCGGAGCGCCCGCAGCACCAGCTCCAGCTCCTCAGGGCGATTCAGAGGAGGAGTATTCAAGAATACAAAAAAAAATGGTCAGAGGACGATTGTTTGATGATTCTTGACAATGTTCCGAATATGTTTCGAGTATTTCTTACATTTCGCCCAAAATCCGCCTGTAGGGGGACAGGGCCGAACTGACCCTCGCTTCGTCTTCTGGCCTCTGCTGCAGAACGGGGCCGAAACGAAACCAGCCAACGAAATTGCCCCCACCCCGTTGAGGTCGAGCCCCGCCTCCAGGTCGGCGTCGTGCAGATCGTAGACGATCACGTCGCAGGCGGCGACGGCCTTCAGCAGCTCGCGCACCTCTGGAGGATGCAAGAACCGGCACGAGCAGAAGATTGTGGAGCTCTGCACGGAGGCCCTGGATCGGCGCTGGCTCCCTGGCGCGCGGCGCGCTCCGGGGGCGGCGCCGGAGGCGCCATCAGGGGGACCCAAACGCCCGTCCACGAAATCCACGCAGAGCTCCGAAAGTTCGTGGTCATGCAATCTTTTCTTCTTCGAACCTCGACCCGCGGGACTATCCTCTGCACCATCGGCGGCACCAGCTCGTCCGAGCGGCCCTTGCGGGTGCCGACGAGCCTCGGCCCCAGCTTCCAGAGGTCGGCGCAAATGGCGCCTGCCAGAGCAATGCCAACACGGGATCGCCACAGGGAGAAGTGGAGGAGGCCCTACGGGACATCCCAACATAACCACCCAACACACTCCCGAAGGTTCAAAAACTGAATGCCAGGATCGTTGGGTTCTGGCTCTGACCGCGCTTCAGACTTCGCCCCCTGGCTGTTTCAGAATCCCCTCTCTTGGGGCTGTCGTCCACCACCCCACAAGCAAAAAGTCGAGCAGGCGGCAAGAATCTTGCGCACACGCACACACACCCTTTTGTTTTGACTGGGGCATCCCTGGGAGGTTGCTTAAACAACTCGGGCAGTCTCGGCGCTCGCTCGGACCCTCTTGGAGGCATGCTGAAGGCGCGATCTTGGAGGCAATCCTGGACAATCTGAGGCACTTTTGGGGCCCTCTCCGGAGACCTCCTTTGACGGTCGCGCCCCCCTCCGCACCCCCTGGCATGGGGCGTTGAGGACGGGTTCGAAGGGAGGAGACGGGCGTGCTCCTTCGAACCGGGTCTTCAGGTAACGAGCGAGCGAAGACGACGATGGAGGAGAACGGGGTGAGGCAGGAGAGGAAGCGGAGGCAGGGAAGGAGCAACCAGGCAGGAGGACGAGGAGAAGAGGGCGAGGAGGCGCGAGAGGACGAGGAGCAGGGGAGGAGCAGAGAGGAGGAGCGGGAAGCACGACGCCCTCTGGCGGTGACGTGGGGCCACCTCGAAGCATCGGAGAGCCGTGTGGGACGGAGGGCCGAGAGGGCTGGACATCAGTGCCACACCCTCCTTTCCTGGCCATCGCTCGGACGTCCATTCCCTGTGTTTTTTTCGGTTTCGTGCGTGGTTTTCGCCAAATGATCAAGGATGCTCCTCGATGGCTCTCGCCGAAGGTAAAATGCACACGTCCGAGCGATGCCAAGCATCTCAGGCGTATATCGAAGACGCCTACGGCGAATCACCGCCGCCCCCGCCCCTATTCCGTCTTGGAAGCGCCCGTGTGGCAAAACGTTGTGGCTGGAGCTCGGCCAAGCTATCGAACTGTGTCCCTCCAGCCGTTGTGGAAACCATTCGGAAAACACGTGGGGGATAAAGAAGAAGAGGAGAAGCGGCATGAAAAAGGAAGAGGAGGCTTCTTGGGAGCCGATTGGGGTCTCCCAGGAGTTTTCCGGGGGCCTCTAGAGGCCTCTTGAGGGCCTTCTTGGGCCTCTTGGGGGCCTTTGGCAGCTTCTTAGGGCCGTCGTAGGGCATTCCTGGCACATCTGGCAACGTCGGACACCTTTTTGGGGGCCTCTTTGAAATGTCTTTGGGCCTTCTTAGGGCCGCCTCGCGGCCCGTCTTGGGCGTCTTGGAGGCCCCGTCTTGGAGGCCCTCTTTGGGCAGTCTTAGGGGCCTCGTGGGCCGTTTTGGGGCCACCTTGGAGGTCTCTTGGGCGCTCCTGGGCATCTTGGGCCGTCTTGGGCAGACGAAAAACACATAACAACAAACATCAAACATCCTTTAAACAACAAAAAGATATCAACGATGTTGGCCTTTTCGGGCCTTCTTGGAGGACCCCTTGGAGGCTTCTTTGGCCGTTTTGGAGGACTCTTGAGGACCTCTGAGGCCGTCTGGGGCCGGCTTGAATCCATCTTGAGCCGTCGGTGTGCATCTTGGATTGTCTTGGGGCCATCTTGGGCTCTCTTCGAGCCGTCTTGGCTGTCTTAGAAGGGTCTTGGAGGCATCATGGAGGCCTCTTGGGCCATCTTGGTCGTCTTGGAGGCCATGTGGGTCACGACATATGGATTTCTGGCGGCCTTTCGGGTGGCCGGCGGGCTGGGCCGAAACCCCAAGGGATTTATTAACAGAACCACGAAACATCAGAAAACTAGCACGCCAAACAATCCGTGATAAATCAACAAGAGCGGCGGATGACGGAAAGTGCGGGTAGCGTCGCGACCCGTTAGTTGGGAAAAATAGCGAAGGGGAGTGTGAGAGGGGTTGGCAAGACCCGCCCCAAATGACGAACAACGCGCGTAGCGTCGCGATCCGTTAGCCGGGAAAGTAGCAAAGGGAATGTGATGGGTTTGGCCTCGGCGGCCAGATGACGGAATACGGGCGAAGCGTCGCGATCCGTTAGCCGGGAGAAATAACAAGGGGGTGGGGTAGGCAGCCCGGGCCCCAGATCTAATGGCGCCCATGTTTTGCAATTTTCGGCTCAGAGCGGCCAAAAAAGGTCCTCAAGACGCCCCAAACGGCCCCCCTGAGGAGCTCCAAGAAACCCCCCAAAGGAGCTCCCCCGATGTCGGCGCCGCCATGATACTGCGCCCTCCTAAATTGTCGGCTCGCACTGAACTGCCCGCTGGGACGTGCCCAGTGGCCAGCGCCACCGCGGCCGCGTCGGCCGCGCAAAACTATCTGGCTGCGCGCGAACATGCGCGGGCGAACGCGCTGCAGAGATGAACCAGCCAACTCCGAACACTCATCGCAATCGCCACCGCATGGGCTTTGCAAGCGAAGTTGCGGGTGGGTGGGTAGGATGTTTGCAAGAGCATGGGATGAGTGTGTCAACTCGTGCGTAAACGAATCAAAACACCGTACACATTGCGCGACATAGCTTGCATAATTTGCGCCACGCAGGTTGCACAACATATCTTGCGCCACGGCTTGCACCAATCTAGCTTGCACCATCCAGTTTGCACCATATAGCTTGCTCCACGCCTGGTGCGCCATGTAGATGAAACGAATGTTGATCCACGTAGCTTGCACCAAATAGCGTACGCCGCGAAATTATACCACAGAGCTCGCACACCCACAGCGCAATTAGTCGTCCGCCGAACATATCCATACTAGTGCAACATACAAGGCGTTCTTTGTACACCCGCCTCAGGCTCGCCTGACAACGACAACCGCGCCAAGGCCGCCGAGAAACAGTTGACTGCGCAACGTCTTTTGGTTCCCTTTCTGGTCTAGGACTGAATATGCCCACTCTTTCGGGCACCCCTGGTCCAGTCCGTCTCCAGCGTTTCGGCGTGTGTTTGGCTATCCTCTTCAAGACATGCCACAATCAACCACACGGGGCAGGCCGACGCTGTCACGAACGACGCCTTTGTTTCCGACTGTGCGAACACACCACGCGTACCTCTTGAATGCAAAGATGCACTGTGTCTGGCTGTATTCTGGAACTCCTTCGTACACACCAACATCGCCAGAAGATGTCAAACCAGGCTCTGAGAATCTGCTGTTGTGGCCTTCGAAGAAGGGAGGAAGCAACTGCCCCCTCTTTCGTGACACCGCCGGCAATGGCAGCTAAGCCGGGCGACTGCCCTTTTTTTTCCATGAACAGACTCTAACCACGGCCCAGGGGTGTGAGCAACCCGACCTCTGCGTTAGGCGCTCGTGGATAATCACAGCGCACCTGCAAGGCCCACTTTTTGGTAAAGCCACCATTGCTACCGCTCTGACTGTCGGGAAAAGGCCGCACCACCGATGAGGAGCTCCTGGAGAGACTTTCGGCTGACAACCAGTCTTTCACCAAGCATATCCATACCAGTGAAACATACAAGGCATTCTTTGTACACCCGCCTCAGGCTCGCCTGACAACGGACAACCGCGCCAGGGTCGCCGAGAAGCAGTTGGTTCCCTTGTCTAGGACTGAATATGCCCACTCTTTCGGGCACCCCTGGTCCAGTCCGTCTCCAGCGTTTCGGCGTGTGGTTGGCTATCCTTTTCAGGACCTGCCACAACCAACCACACGGGGCAGGCCGACGCTGTCACGAACGCCACCCTTGTTTCCGACTGTGCCAAAACACCACGCGTACCTCTTGAATGCAAAGATGCACTGTGTCTGGCTGTATTCTGGGACTCCTTCGTACACCGCACCAAAATTGCCAGAAGATGTCAAGCCAGGCTCTGAGAATCTGCTGTTTTGGCCTTCAAAGAAGAGGGGAAACAACTCAATTGCAGCATCGCGTTTTTGGGTCCACGATGGCTACGTCAAGACGCAGAAGGGAGGACATCTCAGATACCCATGGACTCAAAAGACCCCGCGCGTTGCGCGCGCAGCCCCGCGATCCTCCAGTCCCCCAGGGGGAAGCACGACGACGACGACGACGGACGGCGAAGATGACGACGAACGGGTGACGGCGGCCACCCTTTGCGGATGGCACTTGGCGGGGGGGGGCCACGTATGTGTCTTGCAATTCTGGGGGACGACGGCCGACGACGACGACCGGCCGGACGAAGGGTCCTTTGCGAGTGGCAGGAAGGGGGGGGGAGGGGGGGAAAGAGGGGAAAGGAGAGGGTCGGGGTTGACGAACGACGGCCCTTCGCGGACAGCCGCACGTGGTGTGTGTGTGTGTGTGTGTACGCTGTGTAGGGGTTCTGCAGTCCGTGGCTGGGACCGACGACGACGACTACGACGACGACGACGACGAGGACGACGACGAGCCGCCAGCTAGCCGGCCGGCCGGACGAACGGCCCTTGACAGATGGCCATGGCAGGTGCGGGGCGCCTCTTCCCAGGGGATGTGGACGGGGGGGCGCAACCCCATTGAGCGTCTAACTGGGTCGCCGAAGACGGCCCCAAGAGTGCCTCAGATAGTCCAAGACTGCCTCAAGATCGCGCTTCTGGCATACCTCCAAGAGACCACGAGTGAGCGTCGAGACTGGCCAAGGTGCCTGTATAAACCCCCAGAGATGCCCCCGAGATGCCCGAACAGCCAAAAACAGAATGGAGGGTAGTGCGTGGATCTTGCCTTGTCGACGTGTTGCTTCGGAGGCGGCGGATGACGGCCCCAAGAGGGGGAATTCTGAAACAGCCATTGGGCGGAGTCTGAAGCGCGCACAGCGTCTGAACCCACCGATCCCGGCATCTATTGGATCCTCGATCCTCCCTCCTCCTCCTCCTCCTCCTCCTCCTCCTCCTTCTGCTCCTCCTCCTCTTCCTCCTTTTCCGCGTTGCTGGATCTTCAGGAGGAGGTGGGGGGCACCCCAATGGTGACCCCCTTTGCACGGCTGGAGAATCGCGACAGGTATGGGTCCTCCCCTCCCCCCCCCCGCGGACCTCTCCTGGGGCGCGTTCCGACCAAAATGACAAGGAAATCTAGCCGTGGCGGCGAGAAGCCTTCGGAGGGCCCAAAGACACCAGAAACGTCGAACCTTGATTCTTCTCTGATCGGCAGACCTGCCAGGAAGCCATCCACGTTGTTCACGAACACCCGCATGTTCGACGCTCCTGGGGGGATCGGAGCCCTTCTGCAGGGGGTGCTGCTTCATTTCGCCGAGAATCAGGGGGGAGCAAGGTCGGGAGATGGGGGGGGAGAGAAGAGGACGGACTAGGGTCGGGACGAGGGGGGAAGGGCGGGGTTGGAGAATAGGACCGATCAAGCGTACGGGCTCGTTTGGAACCGCATCGCCGCCTCGCGGCTGTCGGCGACTTGTGAAGGCCGCAAGTGTGGTGATTTGCGGAATCAGCCAGACTGGGCGACGGTACAGATGTGCTGCCCTCCCACAGCCCCTGCGGAAGCGTGAAGGGCGCGGAGGAGCAGTGGGCAGGGGGGGAGGAGGGAGGGGGGCGGGGGGGGACGGGCGGCGGAGATCGACGCTCCAGTGGCGATGGTCGGGATGGACGGGGCGACGCACGCCATTGCCCGCCAGGCCCGCGCCCGGCAGGGACGGTGCCCTTCGAGGGGCCAGGGCGCGTCCTCGGAGCCGGGACGGCTGCCAGACCCGGGAGCGAGGACGGCGAGAAGGGGAAGGGTGGAGGAACTGCGGAGAGCAGAAGGTACCGATGCTGCTACTCCCCGGACCTCTCCCGGGGTGCGTTCCGACCAGAATTTCGGAGCGAATCCAGCGGTGGTGACGAGGGCCGCCCAGGAGGCCCCAAAAGGGGAACACGAACGAGGGGTAGCAGTATGGGCACCGCTTCCTCCTCTGAAGAACATCGTGGGCGCGGCACGGCCAAAATCGGGAATCCACGCTCGGCACGTGCACCATCGCTCGGAGGTCCACGTGGACGTCAGTGGATCGGGGCGGGCCCCCCCTGGCGGCCGCCGCTGACGGCAGGCACGTGCAAATCAGGGCGGGACCTCGCCAACTCTGTGGGGCTGCGACTGGCGAAATTGCCGTCTTTCTCGGGGGCTGCTGGGGGGCAGCTTGGTGCGGTGCTGCGCAGATCAGAGCGGGACCTCGCCATCCCAGAGGGCTGCGAACTGCGAAACTGACACCACATTCGAGAGATGCAGACGTTCTGACGCTCGCGAGTCACGCAGCTCGCGTGCCTCCCAACTAGCGTTCGCATCAAAGATAAGCCCGTGTCTCGTCATCACCCCCTGTAACATCTTTACAGGTCCTACGACCACACGTTGCGCAAACGATGGGGGTGATTACCACCCGCCGCGGAAATCCAAGTAGCCGGCCAACATTTTCCCAACTCTCACTCGGGAGAGGATGTGTCCGCGGCATGCTTGCGGTCACACGGGATCTCGCCGCGGGGCAGTCGTTGCCTGCAGCATGCCTCGCGAACCCACGGAGGAAACGGGGATCTGAGGGAGGGAAGAGGAGGAAGAGGAGGAGGAGGAGGAGGAAGAGGAGGAGGAGGGGAGAAAGAGGAGGAGGAGGAGGAGCAGGAGGAGGAGGAGGAGGAGGAGGGGGAGGGGGAGGAGAACGAGGAGGAGGAGGAGGAGGAGGAGGAGGAGGAGGAGGAGGAGGAGGAGACAGGGGGAGGGGTTCCAGGAGAAAATATTGGCCCTCCTCTGCCTCCTCCCAGGGGAGAGAAGGAGAAAAGGAGGGAAAGCCAATAGGGCGGTTGCGAAGGGCGATGGGTGATGGAGGTTGTGAGGAGGCGGAGGACGAGAGGGCATGCGGGAGTCCAAAAAAGAAACACGGCCTGGACCCCAGGTGACGGCTTTTCGTCTGGCGCACTTTTGTTGACAGTCCTGGGGTCAAGTAACCAGCCCACAAAGACTGAGAAAGGGCCGATCGCCTGAGGGCGCATCTCCCTCATCATCTTCGTTCCCCATGTCATCATGGCGAGGGAGAGAGGGGGCGATGGAAGGAGAGGGAGGGACCCAGCGACGGAGGGAGGAGGGCGATCTCCGAGCCCGCATGCCTGCCTGCCCGCCGAGCGCAGCCGCGCGCTCTCAGGCTGCACCAGCAGAGGCGGTGTCGGACGGCCGTGCTCGACGCTGAAAATCTGGGCGGTGCACCCCTCGGGCGGCTCCGGGAGGTGACCGTGGCCCGCGGTGGCCCCGGCTTCTCCGCAGAGGCCGACGTTCACGAGCGGCGGCCGCATCCCGCGCACTAGCGGTCAGGGTTCTGCAGCGCGATCCCGCGGATGCGCGGTCGCACGGGTACCCTGCACGCGGGGCATCCGCGAGACAACGCCCCGTATCCGCGGGGTCGCGGCCCAGAGCCCTGGCCCGCGAGTCCGCGGAAACGGATATATGTTTCGCTCACGAGGCCCGCCGATCACTCACGACGCACACTGGGCAGCCGTATGCCGCAGCAGCCGTGTGCAACACAGCGCGGGTGTGCACCACGTTGCCTGCGTGAGCCACAGCGCCTACGCACACCACAACGCCTGCGGGAAAAGGCGCGGGGCCGCCCAGTTTTCATCTTCTCTGTGGCGCTGTCTCTAAAACCGATACGTGAATCAAGGATGGGTGGTAATGTCGCAAGACCCTTGGAAACCGAAGTTGGGATTCTCAAGCAAACGCTGGCCACTGAAAACGGCAAATGACAGGTCGCAGAGACAAGGACACAAGGGTACCTTGGAGAAGGCGCGCGTCCTGATTAGGCGCGTTGGCTGTATCGCATTGCAACCGAGCAATGGCCAGAAGGAAGAAAGAGAAAGCCCCCGCAATTTGCGCTTGCGGAAGAGTGGTCGAACCAGCTTGCAGTAGTGGAGCCATCGCTAGCTGCATTGGGCGACGACGAAGACGACGACGACGACGACGACGACAACGACGACGGCGGCGGCGGCGGCGGCGATGGCAGCGACCCTCCACAGAAAACGGCGGCCCTCACCGCCGCCTTCGGAGTAGGGCACCTTGGCATGACCTATGCGCACCGCAAGAGCCTGCAAGCGCGACAATGTGCATGCGAGCACCCAAACATGCCTTTCAGCACCACGCCATGCCTGTGGGCCTGGCGCCGCAACAAGCGTGGAGCCTGCGAGCGGCACAACACATTTGTTAGCACCAAGGCGTGCCGTTCAGACCACGCATGCATGTGAACAGAACGCCATACCTGCCGCGTTTTCCGCTCCCAGCATATGTATGTGGGGGGGAGCCAAGTTCCATCGCCACCCCCCAACACGATCGTGAGCGTTACCCAGGGGGGGTGATTGGCCCAGGTAGCGGGCGTTACGCTGGGGAGGGGGAACAAAACGCTCTCCAGTGGGCCATCGGAGGCTCCAATCCCAGCGCGGGAAAGCCGGGGACACCTTGGGCCGCGATCGGCCCCAGCAGCCTCCGAGGACAGGAACTCTCCTCGGATGCCTTGCAGGCCGAGGCAGCCGTCTGGACTTCGACCGCGACCGCTGGCAGAAACACCCGCTTTCGGATCGTGGCCGGGGTCGCCCCAAAATCGGCGGGACCCGCGGCGCCGCGCCACGCAGTCGACGAGCGCAGGCGTACAGCGGCGTGGGTCCCAAAATCTGCGGGCCTGCCTCACGACATCCGCTCTTGGCCAGGCCCTCGGCTACAGCCAGGCAGTGCGCTGGCCGCCGCCGCTGAATTACGCTTGCCGCTGCTCGTACAACGTCTTCCTGTATGCGGCCACGAAGTCCTCCTGGGTCTTCGACGGCATCTTCTCGTACTCTTTGAACTCCATGGAAAACTCGCCCTGGCCCTGGGTCACGGAGCGGAGCTCGGAGGAGTAACCGAACATTCTCCTCAAGGGAACCACCGCCTCGACGACGGAGGTGTCCTGGCTGACTGCGCGCGTGGTCTGGATGGACCCCTCGCGGGAGTTCAGAGTCTGCAGGCACTGCGACTGAAATTCTGTCGGGAACGTCACCTCTCACGAGCGACCAACACATCCACGGCCTCGCGGTCCGGATAATCACCGAGGCGCGCTCACATGGATGCGCGACCCTGCGGATACGCTCTGCACGGGGCATCTGGACAACGCCGCCCCGTATCCATGGGATCGCGGCCTGGGTGTCCAGCCCGCGAGGAAATAACACGCGTCCCACTTACGTACGGGGAAACCAAACGGTGCTGATACTGCTGCTCCCTAAACCTCTCCCGGGATGCGGACAATCCGCTGGCCGCCCTGCGGGGCCATCAGGCTGCGAAGATTAGGCTTGCAGCTCCCTGTGACAGTTGCAGTTTCCAGCTTGCACTGTTGCAGTCCTGCTTTCCGCTTCCTTACTGTTAGTTCTTGCTGAACGCGCGAGGGGGGGAGCCCAAAAGCGTCCTGGTTAGCGTCCCCGAAACGCGTTGTCTGAATTCCCCGGGGGTCGTGGGACACGTAGAAATATGTTATCGTCGCGTCCCCGAGGCCATTATCCTTAGTAAATTACTCCATAATCGCGTCCTCGAGGCCATAACCCTTCGAAATTATACAATGCTCGCGTCCCCGAAACCATGACCCATCGTACATTACATAATACTCGCGCCCCCAGAGCCATGGACCCTAGTACATTACACAATACTCGCGCCCCCGAAGCCATAAACCACCGTGAATGACAGAAAACTCACGTCAACGAAGCCATAAACCCTCGAATGCAATACTCGCGTCCCCAGAGCCATACACCTTTGCAAATTACACCATACTGGCGTCCCCGAGGCCTCACACCATCGCACATTAAATACTATTCGTGTCCCCGAGGCCATAAACCTTCGAACATTACAAACTATTTGCACACCCGAGGTAATACACCTTCGTAAATTACACTATATGTGCGCCCCCGAGGCCGCAATTTTTTTGAAATTGCACAATATCTGCGTCCCCGAAGCCATAAACCATCGTAAATTACCTAATGCGCGCCACTGAAGCCATACAACCTAGCACTCCCAACACAGCTCTCACAAGTCCGATTCTAAGAGAGGGGGGCCGGCGACATGGGGGCGAACCTCTTGTGGATAATTTCCGAAGTCAATTCAGCGGTGGCGACGAGAGCCTTCCAGGAGGCCCTGACAGGCGAAAACGAAGGAAGGGTAGCGTTGTAATGTGGATATTGTAGCAAAGGGTTAAAACGGATGGTTTTGTTTCAAATTCAAAATAATATCGCCTAAGTTCGCGAGGGAAGCTTGGATAAAGTTTCAAAATGAACCCGGTGCGAGCCCAACTGGGAAAACACTTCCTAAGCGGCGTTGCTTAACATTGTTTGACGTTGCATTGTTCTGCTTTGAACTGTATTGCATTGCTTGGCATTGCCTTGCGTTGCTTGTTGCTCGGTATGCATTGTTTGACAATGCTTGGCATTGCTTGCCATTGCTTGGTGTTGCTTGGCATTGATTTGCATCGCTTGGCATTTCTTGACGCTGCTTGGCGTCGCGTGGCATTACTTAGCGCTGCTTGGCATTACTTGGCATTGCTTGGCATTGTTTGGCGTTGCTTGACGCTGCCTGGCGTTGTCTGACATTGCTGGGAAACAAAACCAACACCGGGGGCGGGGAACCCGAGGAACCTGGAGAACCCGAGGAATCCGGGGAGCCTCCGAGCAACGGGCCACGCAAGAATCCGAGGCGCCAAGCTTTACCCAAGTGAGAACCCCTTAAACAAGCCTAAGTGAGGGAAACATTCAAAACAACAACGCCGATTCTGAACCCCCGCCGCATTGCCCTCGCGGCGCCTGGTCCCCGAGGCCCCCGGCGCGCGCCGTAAGCGTCCACACTTGCACTGCGGCACCGTGCCTCTGGGCACCGAGTGGGCGTGTTCTCAGGTTCATTGCCTAATCCTCTCAGCCTCAGTCCTCACTCCTTGTCCAGGGTTTCCTGCGTGCCCCATGGGGCTTCCCTCGTACCCCCTGAAGCTTCCCGCGTGCCCCCTTGTGCTCCGCGCATCTTGTCGCGTGACTTCCTCGGGCTCCAGAGGGCCAAAAGACGCGCCAAGAGAGCCCCGTGAGGCCCCCAAGACGGCCCAGGAGAGCCCCGAGTCGCCGAAAGAACGCCCCGCGACGCGCAAGGTGCCCCCGGGGCGGACGGCACAAGAGGCGTCCAGCACGCCCAAGGAGGATGGGCCCTGAGAGGAGGAAGAGGAGGAGGAGGAGGAGGAGGAGGAGGAGGAGGAGGAGGAGGAGGAGGAGGAGGAGGAGGAGGAGGAGGAGGAGGAGGAGGAGGAGGAGGAGGAGGAGGAGGAGGAGGAGGAGGAGGAGGAGGAGGAGGAGGAGGAGGAGGAGGAGTAGACGTACCCTGAAGGCGGACTCCCGATGACCGCACTAGACGCGAAGCGCCAAACGCGCAGCACCAGTGATCCGCTCGGCTTCTGTATATGAGAGGTGCGCCTCCGGAGGCACAGAATCTTTGGCTTTGTGGTAAATGTGGAAGGCAAGGACGGTGGCCTCGACAGCCTGGAGGCGCGTTATCTCACAGTCTTCTGTGCCGTACTCGGTCGGGGCACCGAGGCCGAGCCAGAGGAGGGGGTCCGAAGGAAAGACGAGTCGCATCCAGCTTAAGGCGACATGGTGGCGCATCCGAGGGCACATGAAATAGTGAGCTATCGCATCAGGGCCTCCACATCCAAAGATGCAGTCACGGGTGTGCCGCGAAACATGCATGCGTGCACTTGTGGTCCAGCCTCCGCACACGCTCTTGGTGTACGCCCACCGCCACGCAGGCCTGACTTGCTCAAGACATTCACGCACAAGAGCCCATCTCGTATCAAGAGCTGGTGGACATGTAAACTGCCACTTAGTGAGCCTGCGAGCGATCGTGAGAAACAATCTATCAGGAAACACAGCGTGCATGAGCGCAGCGCCTACAACTCTCTGAAGCTTGGGGGGACGAACCTCCTGGAGAGCACTGCGAATCTCTCGGCGCCCCTCAGCCCGGGCATCGTCCCAAACACGAACCGAGAAGGGGGAGAGAGGGCGACACAAGCCGTTACGACGACGCAGGACGACACGAGGGGTGGAGGCGGTGAGCTCCTGGAAATACTGCACAATCGCTTGGCCACGCTTCCAGCACGGGGCGCACCATTCCCCTAGAGCCCAGCGGGGGGCGGAGAGGGGGAGCGATCCACAAGCGGCATCGGCGGCCTGCTGCAACTTGTCGTAGGCAGCGTGCCAGTCGGGCACGGTGTGGGTCAATGTGCGCCACGCTGCCGAGACACCCAGGAGCATGAGCGATTTCGGCGTCGAGCCGATCCACTGCAACGACAACAAATCGGCGCGAGAAAACGTATTGGGGGGAAGACGGAGCAGCTTGTGAAGAGCGAGAGCCTCACGCGAGAGAGCAAGAGGGGACATGGGGAAGAATTGGGCGAGATAGCCGAGCGTGCTAACAGCATACGTGTTATACTGATACACCAGGAGCGGCGCGGCAGCACGAGACGAGGGGAGCTCGATCGCCCGGTGCCACCACTTTTGGGACGCGACGTGCCACTGGTCAAGAAGGCCTCCACCGGGGCCAAACTGGACACCGAGATACGCTGTAGCCGGCTGAACATCAAATGAACAGAACGTAGGGACCTCAGATTGGAGCCACAGCTTGATTCGCGACACAAGCTCGGACGTACATTCAGTCCAGAGCGGCACGATGCAACATTTGGCATGCTGTACAGACAAGTGTGCATGGCGCTCGATGGCACTAAAATGCGGGGCTAATCGTGCGAGCGTGCGGAGCTGGGGCAGGAGGGTGCCAATGCCGTCGGCGCAACCTCCTACTTCTCCTGGGATGTCTCCTGGCGGGGGTTGCTCAACAGCCTCAGACAACAACCTCACCACAGGGTCGAAAATGAGCGCCCAGACCGATCCCGAAAGGGGCAGCCCTGGAGAACCCCGCTGCACAAATAAAACATAAAGTGGAGCTCTCCACCGAATCGTCCAAAGCCTCGGGGGCAAAAGTAGAGGGCACGAAGGAGGTTGAGGTAGCCTGGAGGAACGCCGTGCCGGCGAAGAACTTCGAAGAGCCACTGGTGGGCGACCGATGGGAATGCCGCAGCAATGTCAAATGAAACAATACAGGGCATGTTGAGGTCACCGCCTGGAGCGATGCTAAGAGCACGTGCTGAGGCATCCATGTGCACAACGTTGCGGATGAAGTTTCTTCCGGTGACAAAGCCACGCTGATTGCCATGCACTCGCTTGGCAACAACCTGACGTAGCTGATGATTGGCAGCGCTGGCGACGATTTTGGTGTCAGTGTTGCGCAGCGAGAGAGGGCGGACTTTGCTCGGCTGACGCACGCAATCGAATACGTCTTCTGGATTGTTGCCTTTCGGCAAGAATGCAAAGACAGAGTCGTTCAAATCGAGGGGCACAAGGTCGCCACGATAAAGCTGCAAGGATAGATCATGCAGTATATCGAGTTGCTCAGGTATCGCGGCCCAGGCTTGGTAGGTGAACCCGTCAGGTCCAGGAGCTGAGTTACGGGCACGCCGCATGGCCACCTCGAGGCCCGCGCGCGTCGGGGTCGGAAAAAAGAAAAAAAAAAAAAAAAAAAAAAAAGGAAAGAAAAAAAAAAAAAAAAAAAAAAAAAAAAAAAAAAAAAAAAAAAAAAAAAAAAAAAAAAAAAACAAAAAAAAAAAAAAAAAAAAAAAAAAAAAAAAAAGAAAAAGAAAAAAAACGGAAAACAAAAAAAAAAAAAAAAAAAAAAAAAAAAAAAAAAGAAAAAAAAAAAAACAAAAAAAAAAAAAAAAAAAAAAAAAAAAAAAAAAAAATAAAAAAAAAAAAACAGAAAAAAAAAAAAGAAAAAAAAAACAAAAAAAAAAGCGAAACGAAAAGCCGAAATAAATAGCAACACGCCAAACAAGCCATCCGCAAACCCAAGGCAAACACACCCGAGCCATCGAAAACACGGTCTAAATAACTGCGGAGCCTGTCGGGATCAACTCGCCGGGCTTTAAAGACC